TCTCTTCTATTTATTCATACCGCTAGCCGAAACATTGGAGCGAGCTGGGAGCAAAAACGCTGTCGTTGCCCGCCCCCCTCCTCAGCACCGCCCCCGTACAGCGGCCTGTGCTCCGCCCGTATAGGGATGTTTCCATACTCATAATCTATCGATACATACTCATTTAATTAGAGCACTAAATCAGCTTTGTTCGGGAGCACAGAAATATGAAATAACAAAACAACACAGGACAAATACAACAGCAAAGCTTCCATAAAGATGGAAAATTAATCAATTAGGTTAGACTGGAAAAGTAGGGTAAAAAATGGTAATGAACAGCTTAATAATAATTAAGGCTTTGAATTTTCATCTGACATAGAGAGCCACGCTAAACAGTTCATAGTAGAACCGTTGATTGAAGAAATAAGAAGATTCGCAACCTTATGGGCGATTTCATGGCACAAAATATGTCCGAGATGTAGTTCGCGTTACCGTTATATGTCCGAGATTTAGTTTAGCTCTGCGCCGGCGCCGCTGCGCGCTGATAGTCGTTAACAACGCAGCAGATAAAGAATACTGTAGTGTAGTTCTGATTTCAGTCGACAGAAAGATTAATAACACCACCCGATACCAAACCATACCACCAAACAGTGTCGTGGCACATATTTTTCTTAACATAGCATTGAAGGAATATTTATATGTTTTATCAATATTTTGACTACGCCTATGATGTATGCGGTGGTATCATACTCACTAATTACGAAAAAAACGTATGAAACTGTTAACAAAAGATACAAAACTAGTATAGACTTATAGCACATATATCAAGTATATATTATAAACTTGTGTCTAGCCCCAGCAGGCAACTATTAAGTCCGACCATTCACGTTTGAGTTTTTGACCAAACAAAAAAACAAATGAATTAACACCCTCCAAATAACCACGCTAACCAACCTCATTGGTCAAGCTTAATAGTTGTCTGCTGGGGCTAGACACTTCTATATTATAATATCTGAAAAATAATTATCGAATTTAATAAGAAAACACTAAAAAGGTGCAGTGGACTGTTTATTTACCTATGAAACGTAATTCCTGGATCTTTCTTATCGTTGCGGCTTTTACAGTTGAAAGCTGAACAACTAATCCTATTGTAATTAAGTTTATACAAAGTTTACTACACACAAACTATTAAAAATCGCTAAAATTGTCACTGATGACCAGCTGATGACTCATTTCTTACAACCAAAAAAATGGCGTCTAATATCACAAATTCTGCTGCAGCCAGTATATGGGAGTTACATATCCTTTTATACTTTAGTCATTGGTCGACAGACTGGGTGGATCCCGGAGACAGTGTTGCTAGAACTACGCATTAATTTGTAGGTCTACAAATTTTAGTTATCATATATACAGTACGTAAATAATATGGATTTTCTATCATTAAACAATTTAATATAATATTATATGATTGAACAAAGAACGACGTCAAATGTCAATAGTCGTCATTTCCAAACCAACTAAACGACTTTTTTCGATCGTACGAAATATTCAGTACCTATAAAATATTTTTTTTTATTGTTGTTTATTCACGGTTAACACGTATTCATATGTTTAAAACGAATAAAGTTTCAATACATAAACGTAGATTTTTTATTCAAAGACATTTTAATATGGCAACACTGTCGCTTTCAGTTTCACACCGTCTTCGATATTCCTTCGCTAGCCGAATTAGAGAAAGTGAGTGTTTTATACGTTGGCCGCAGAGCGAGTAGAGGCTCCACCGTACAGCACTTGAGACGTAAGGGGAAATCAAATCAGCCTTGTCACGAATTCGCCCATTAGGTTGCGTATCTTCTTAATTCTTTCAATTAACGGTAGAACACTGACAAAATTTACGGCAGACTTGAGCAAAGACAGGGAACCTGCCAAAACTGTAGTGGGTTTATTAACAGATTAACAGGACATTGGAAGCTCAGTTACATCATATTCATCAATAGGCATTTAATGCTAATGGGATTAATAGACGAAGCCCTGTAAAATAAGGAAAACTAAGAGGACTTTATATAACTACAATAACCTGGCAAATCTTTCTTTTTTTACTTCAGTTTCCAAGTTATTAAACTTTGTGAAACAAAATACGACAGGAGAATTTAATCTAAAGATCAAAGGCTCACAATATATTTGAAAAGATAGCCGTGAAATGGGACAATAGCTACTTCATAAAATATCCCACTCCTTCCTCATACCGTCTATGCATCGCAAATTCTTCCTAAGATTCCATTTCACTAATCCGAAAAAGTAGCAAAATAAGCGTTCGGCATGTATGTAAAACTAGCTAGGTATTTTTACACAAATGAAGAAGGAAATTAAAGATTAAGGATTATACTATATCCGTATCCGTATTGTAGCAAATTTTTAAACAACTTTTTGAAAACAACAAAAATTTTTAAGATTTTGATGGTCAAACATCAACAAAATCTGCCTTATGTTTGGACTAAATTTTCTCGAAAATAAAGACATAATTTAAAATTCCGTTACAATACGGAAATAGATTGAAGTCTTGTGATTACAGTATATCACCAGTTATATACAATTTATATGGTTTTGTAACAAATTGCTCACTATTTTATGGCAAATGCTGAAAGCTCTGCAAACCTTAAATCAAGCCTTAATCAAAGCACGTGTGTTTGGAGGCTTAACACAACAGGAACAGGATCGGGCTAAGCCTTGGGCAGATTTCTGAAATATAATATTTATTTCCTTCGGCCAAACACCCGCTTTACCCGACTCCTGAGAGCGACCCGAACAGTACAGCTTAATACTCTTAAAAGTAATTAAGGATTTCGTTCATTTGTGTATGATTTGATTGTATAGTGGCTCACTTTTCTCCAAATTTAACTTTTGTTTGTCGTGAAGTGTGCTGAGCTCATTCCATCTCTGTTTAGCCAGTTCAGCAGGTATCGAGTATTTTTTTGCACTTAGCCCTCTTTGACAGTACGGGACCATCCCTACGCGGGCCGTATATCGCCGTCGGTCGCGGAGGGATTCGCTACACAGCATTTGATCTGGGCAAAGTGTAACGGCAAATGTAATTTGTTTTATTGATCTACTTTTCTTGGGTCGGGTCGGTCGGCCGGCGGATTCGGATTTCGTTCGTTTCTCGTCGCGTCTTCTCTCTTTTTCCACCTTACTCTAGGGGGTGAAAGGGGTAGGAAAATGACTAATGGCGCGTCGCGGAGATATAATTGAAATTGGATTCATGCGAGCGAGGGCGGCAGGGAAGGACGACGTCGACGTTACGTCGCTGGAGACGAAGGTATGCCAATGTCAATTAAAAACTAGTCTTTGTTGTTTGATGTGCTCGATTTTGATCGTATGGAAATGTTTTTTGTTCATGAAATGTATGTTTTTAATGCATTTATTTGTCGGTTATTAAATAACCTATATGCCTCTATTGGGGGCCGGGCCGTGGCACAGAGACCATGCGTCTACAGCTGACCGGATAGACCGTGTGCGATCTCCAGCCGGTGCGGTCAGTTTATTTATTTAAATAAAAATATTTAATAGGACTAAATAGGACGACCGACGAGTCGCAAAGAAAGGCGACTGCACAATTCACCTTAAAAATATTTGCCTAGTACAACCTCCCAAATGAAGAGCACACGGGAAAAACGATGAGGGTCCAAAAACGATAAATGTTCAGGAGAGCGCTTTTTAATTCAAATTACGCATGGACTTCTATAGGTTTCCCCACTTTTAAATTTCTGTTTCTATGTGACCGTTATCGATATTTCCGTTTATTTAGGTACCAGAAGGTGTAGCTTTTTAAAACGAAAAATATGATGCATAAAATAAAATTAGCAAAAAATGGATTTTCATCGTTTTTCACGAATGCTTTTCAAAAGGTATCGTTCGGATTCGGCGATAAAATATCGGTCCCGTATACTCGTACTTATGAAAAACTAACAACATAACAAATACATGCGAGATGTCTACGGTCTATATAGAGCATGCCTCTCTAAGAAAAGATATCATTCTAGCAGATATTTGAGCACACATATCTGTTCCTTAAGCATACACTTCTGTTAATACACTTCAAGAATATTAGTACCTATTTATATTTTTGTTAAATTTTACTTATTGTGTTTAGAATTATTACATTCTCTCGAATTATTACTGAGTATTAATCTCTCAGTGGATCTTTAAACGTAAACGTATTTGCTTAAGATTGTATTATTCATATTTAGACATTTATTTGACTCGAAATACCAAGTGTGTGGTACCAAATTATTCGTAAAAATGCTTTTTCCAAATATGCTAATGAGTCACCCTTGTAACATTTGAAAAAAATGATATATGATTAAAAATACAATTTGGGCATCTTTTAACCGACCAGGACAAGACACGAAAAACATTAGACGTTCAAATCTATTTTTCCACGGCTCCTTGATTAAAAATTAGTGTTTTTAATACAGCCATGTGACATATAAGCCATGGCACTCTAAATTTGATTTTAAAATACGAATTTTTTTAAGCGAAAATGCCAAAAGTTGACGTGATATGTCAATTTATTTAGAGTGTCATTTTCTATGGAATAAAATTAAAATGTACCGAGGGTGCCATTTAAAAATTAAAACTTGTAGTCATTTCCGGTGAAACTCGAAGTGACCAAAAACAATTGAATACGTCAATTAATCCCATCAATTAATTTATGTCATATACTAAGATACCAAATCTAGTTTTTATTATCTGAAAAAATAAAAAAAGTTATAGGGGTGATCCACTTTTGAGATGCACTCGGTATAGTTTTTGTATATTTGCGTGAACCGTTTTTGAATTATTTTGGTTTAATCAGTGCGGTCGCTAACACAAAATGCTTCGTTGCCTTGGGAATAAGAATAAATAATACACTTTATTTTTCTTTTGTGTTAGCAGCAGATATTATGAATAGGTTGTACGTAAAACTCTCTATAAACCATGTTATTTAAGCTATCTTAATACAATAATTAATTTTTCTTCAGGTGCAGCATGGTGGTCTATGGCCTCCCACCTGGCTGCCCAAGACTACTTGGCCCGACTGCAAGCCTCCGGCCTGAATTTTCCAATGGGAGGGCCAGCGGACCCCTACGCTGCCCTAGGGCTACCATCGTTGACCGGTGGTGGCCATCACAAATCGAAAAGTCCCTCCAAGTCGTCCAGATCGTCGAGCAACAACAAAGACAAAATGGCAGCGGCTGCTGCTGCTGCGTCGATGGGGTCCTCCGGTTCCATGAAGATGGACCATCACAAGTTAAACTCTTCGATTAGCATGAGGTAAGGATACTATGTCTATAGTCTGTCCAACGACAAAATCCTTGACAGTGATAGATGTGTCTGTCATTTTAATTTCAAAGTAGTTAATTTTATTTTATAAAAAAATAAGTTGGTACAATTGGAACGCATAGCAGGAAATTAATGTATTTAAAATTTGAGTGACAAGTGATTACTTCAAAGTATTGTGAAAAAAAACTGTATAAAATTGAAAAAATCTAATCGGGTTATTTTATTTTAAAAAAATTACCTACGGTATGTGTTAATACAAAACAAATAAGAACAAAACATCACATACCAAAAAAATATAAAAAGAACTATTTCTTACTTTCTAGCTTCAAGAAACTTCCTGCATTTATTATTATATTTATCAATATAACATAAAACTTATATATAAATAAAAATTTGTAATATTCCACAGGAATAAATAAAACAACATAAATAAAACAAAATATTTTATTAATAATAACACTTGCCAAATTTTATACCTTAAAAGTTGACCAATTAACTTTAATCTTAATTTTTTTAAACCAGTACCTTTTGACATTATCTTTCTGCAGCACTAAAATCCATTATTTACCTATCGTGTGATATTATTTTACAGGTATTATACTTAAGTTTTAAACATATGTTCGACGAGATGGTATATACAAACTTTATTAATGGTAACTTTATTGCTGTATAAAACTCTCTACCTGGGCATAGAATATTAATTATAAACCTGTGCTCTGGGCCTACAGTTAATTTTCCCCCATTTTTCCTTCACTTAACTTCAAAAGACACAAAACACACGTAATAACACGATTCAAAATACATCATCTTCCAAAACGCAGTGTATTTGACATAATTTGACAAAAAAATATAACCTCTAATTTGACAAGACTTTGACAAGCCTCAAAAATCTAAAGGCGAGTTCATACGCATCTGCTTCCGAGTTTCGTTCTTCGTTCCGTCACTCCAATAATATTCAAAATATGATCTGTCATTTTTAAAGTAAACCAATAAAACTGGTTAAAAACAACAAGAGACGACACATGACCGATTTATATATACTATAATCCCATCCATAGTTAACTTAAAAAATATTAGAAACTTTTTTTAATGAAATAAATAGATTGGTATGGACGTCATCTGCTTTTTTTCTGTCGTCGTCTGTCGAAATCTTACCTGAGAAAAAAATAACAGAGTATATTATTCATATATTCCCTATACAGGGTGTTTCAAAAAACATGTGCCATCTCTCGTGGGAAGATTCCTCACGTAAAAATAAGATTTTTTTTTCAACATGGGTCCGATTCTGCTTTGTTTCGTAGTTACAAGGGGTTAAAGTCTTAATTTTTTTCTTCGATTTATTATAATTTTCTTCCAAGTGTCTTCAGCAATTTGAATCAAATTTTGAGGGTAAAATTTACTCTAAGTGTTTATTTTAATGCTAAAAAAGTGTCTTCATATTCACCAGGGACGTGCATATGGGTTATCAGTTATCATTGAAATAATTTTCTAAAAACACGTGGGCCACTGACTTTTATTTATCTTGTTAGCAAAATTGTGTAGATTGTTTAATGCTGATTAAAAGTAGGCTCTTGATATTTGGTTCGATTATGATCTTGACGAGATATAAGCATTTGTATTATATTGCCTTAATCCAAGTCTAATAGGTACGTTTAAAAGTTTTTAATATCATTAACTGGCCAAAGTGTTAAATATACAGGCTGTTTTTCAAATGTGGACCACCCCTATAACGTGGGTGTGTTAGTTTTTATTTTAAATTGATTCTCTGCTGAAAAATATAGTTTTAACATTTGAATATTTTTCCTGGAGTTTGTGGAAGTAAAGAAAACACTAGAATGAAAATATCTTTGAATTTGATGAAGTTAAATATACAGGGTGGTCCGAACTGTATTCCGGAAACTTCGGCAGCGTATTCTGCAGATTAAAATAAGTAAAAAAGTTCGTATAAATATATGTCCTAAAATGCTTACTTTCAGAGATACAGGGTGTAGAAGTTTCATTTTTATATCGATTTTTTCTAAATAATTTCTGAAGTAACGTCAATATTTGGATGAAAATTGGTGTCTGGGAGTTTTTTGACATGAGAAATTTGATTTTGGTGTCAATATGACTCCTACTAGTAGAGGGCGCCACCTACATGTGTTTTAACTGTTTTGAAGCTTAATAACTTTTTGTCCGTACCTGTATAAAACTTCCCAGTGAAAAATATACATCTCCGGGACTTTTTACGTAAAAAATATCTCTTTGTAAAAATCGCTACGAGCAACCGTTCTTAAGATATTTAGAATGGAAATAGAAAATACATATCATTATTGACGAAAAATAAACACATTGAGTAAGTAGGTAGTTATTTCACTGAAGTAATAAATTTAGGAAATTTTTATTTTTTTTAAATTAATCATATTTTTTTCTGCAAAAAATGATGATAAAACAGTTTCTATTGAACTTTTGACACAAAAACGTTTCAAATTTATGATTTCAGTCTAATAACTATTTAGTCAATATGTTTAATTTATGTCACTGATGACAGGTATTGATAATTTCGATTCCAAATATCTTGAAAACCATTACTCGTAGCGATTTTTCCCAAGAGACCTTTTTCGCGTAAAAAAACGTCGTTAATGTAAATTTTTTTACTCTGTAGGTTTATACAGGTACGGACGAAAAGTTATTAGTCTTCAAACCAGTTAAAAAATATATAAGTGGCGCCCTCTACAAGTAGGAATCATATTGACATTAAAATCAAATTTCTCATGTCAAAAAACTTCTAGACACCATTTCATCCACCCGACATTTTCATCCAAATATTGACTTCACTTCAGGAATTATTTGGAAAAAATCGAAATAAGAATGAAAATTCTACACCCTGTATCTCCGAAACTAAGCATTTTAGGACATACATTTATACGAACTTTTTTAGTTATTTTTATCTGCAGAAGATGTGCTGCCGAAGTTTCCGTTATACAGTTCGGACCACCCTGTATATAGTTTTTAAATTAAGAGTAGGTACTCTAAAATCATATTTTATATACCATCCAATTACTTATTATAGTAGTTTACCCAGCTATCTCTATGTTGAACCTTTTATGAAAACTACTAATTTTTTATGGCTGTAATATCACTAACAGAATATGAAGTTGCTCAGGTTGCTTAATTAAGAATAAATGAGAACTGACGCATTTTAAATGTATGCCATTAAAAGTTTGTTGTTTTTTTTTTCATTTATAATTTACTCTAAAGTGATTTAATTTCCTGCTCTTGCTAGTGCACATTTACAACAAGCAGGATTTTTATCTAATAAATATTTAAATTATTTTTTATTAAAGCTCTTCATATATGCATTTTTCAAGAAAGGCTCAAAGAAATAAAAGATCAAATATACTGTCAATACTGAAGTACTTTAATTATTGTTTGATATACCCGGTGTGTCTCAAAAGTGGCTGATCCCTATAACTTTTTTATTTTTTTCAGGGAAAAAATGAGATTTGGATGTTAGTATGTAACATAAATTATGATTGATTGACGTATTCAATTGTTTTCGGTCACTTCCTGTTTCACCGAATATGACTATAACCAGGGAAGAATCCAGGATTCGGGAAGGGGGGGGGGGCTTGAGCCTCCGAAGCCACCCCCGTGGATCTGCCACTGACTACAACTTTTGATTTTTAAATGACACTCTCGGTATTTTTTTACTTTATTCCATAGAAAATGACACTCTGAATAAAATGACATATCATATGACAACTTTTGCCATTTTCGCATATGGTTTATTTGAAATTGTAACATGTGGTTCATCCCGACAATTGCACTCGAAATACCAAGTGTGCGGTACCAAAATTTTTTTAAGTTCGAACATTGGCCGCTAGGTGGCGGTACAGCAACACAAAATCGAAAATACCAATTTTCTCATAATTTTTTTTAATTAAGACATGTTGAAAATATAAGCATTGGATTCTTCAATCAATTACGCACTTTTTTACTCTAGACCATTTTTATCTATTGTCAAAAATAGAGTGGTTGGGGAAGGATATCAGAACTTTTAAAACTGTTGTATATGTAATTAATATAATTATTGTTGTTTGTTTCAGCAAAACGTCATCGAACAACAGTTTAAAATACTCATCGCCATCAGGACTGACGATACAGCCTAGCGTTAAATTGCCCGGCACGAACTCCAGTGTTAGTGATAGTAAAAGCCGGAAACATAGTAGTGATTTAAGTTACTTAACTAAGTTAGATGTGAAGCAGAAGACTAGTAGTGCTTCGGTGTCCACTCCTCCCGCACCCATAACTTCCTCCAGCACCATCTCGTCCGTCACCACAACTTCCTGTGTGAAACCGCCAGCGGACTCGCCCAGTATATACTCGAACCCCATGAGTTTGGCCAGTAACCAGGACAAAGGCGCCATGTCGATTTTAAATAGTAATAGTAGTCACAATTCAGTCGTCAATAGCAGTAGTTCCGGATTGCCGTCTAGTATTTTAAGGTAATCTATTGTTTACTTCATATTTTGCTTCTTTAAATCACAATTTATAAGAACCCGTGGCGGCTCGTGGTCATTATTGTAGCGAGGTCAATATCTAAAAATATTCCGTCGATTTTTTTTAGGACGCGCCCAAATTTGATTGGTTTCTTACAAGGTACTTGTATGAAAATAAATATAAATTCTGTTAAAATGAAACCTACCCTTACATTTTTAAACAGGTGGTCTAGTGCCATTTCACAAAAAATCCAGTCAATGTTCTTTACACACATTGTCCACGGTAGGATTTAAAATACACATATATTTAAAAGTTTTATTTCACATTTTTTTTATATTTTAAGCGAATGCGGCGTTCTTTCTCTAAACGTTTTTCGAAATTTAAGCAATTGTTTAAGCATGTTGTCTATTTTAAAATATCAATCACAGTTCATCATTTATCCATAACCAGAAAATTATAAATTATTAGGTACCTATACAAATTTCGCGCTACACCTCAAACTAGATGGGATTTCTTTCAATATTAAAAATTTAAATATTGCCTTATATTAACTAAACCAAACATTATATGCGATAAACGATACAAAATACTAAGTTGTTTTATAATTTGAGTTTTTATAAACACCCAAACTGCCTAAAGGGCGAAATTTGTCTAAAGTCCTTTTATGAATGACGCGGTCAATGGCCAATATAAACTATATCTATCGCACCTTAACCCGTTATATTTTCTATACGTAGTTTAATACTTGCAAAACATAGCGGGAACGAAGGAAAATGAAATTTTGACCGGCAGTAGAGAAAATGGGTAAAATGAAACGTTTTGAAGCGAAAATTGGACAAATTGATGGTTTTTGGGAATAGTTAGAATATCTCAGGATGAAAAAAAGTTATTTACAAAAAGTATAATTTAAATAGGTTTTTCCTAATTTTCTTCTGACTTTTTTGGGGGGCATTGGACCTTATGGTTAAGCCGCCACTGATAAGAACTGGGTTTTAACTAAAACACACAAATGTAGTTTAAAAGCAAGTGAAGCTTTTTTTATTAAGTTTGACGCTAGAATGCGTATAGATTTTTTTCTATCCATCCAATAGTATATATTTTTGTTTGCTTTGTTTAGACGGGTTCCACGTTCATATCAACATTATTTCTATTTTTTTTTACTGGAATGAATAAACTATTATCTATCTATCTATCGATATACGCCATAATCATACATGCTAATGTTAATAATCATCTAATAATGCTTTTGAAATAATGTATTTTTTTTCTAAAGTTTTTATGATTCTTAATTTTACTTGTATTAAATTATTTTGAATCTTACCTTTTATTAAGGATATCTTACATTTTTTTAATACTCATCCTAGTTGCTTAAAAAAATTACCGCCATACCAGCGTCCTGTCTTGGAAATCCTGACTGGAAGTTGTATGGGATACCAGGAGAGTATAAGATGTTTCCCCGGACTCATGTAATTTCCTGAAGCGTGATTAGATGTAAGGTTTCTGCCTCTTCTTGAGATGTTACATAGGTCTTGGAGCTGTGGTACCTGAATCCAAAATGATTGATGAGGTCTTCTTTTGTCATTCGGTGTGGTCTTCTTTTGCAGATCAGCAGTAAAGTCCTTTGCAGAGTTCGTTAACCATGATTCTCTAATAATTTCATCAGTAGTAAGAGCAATCTTTTATTTTATGATTTTTATGAACCCAAAGTATACATTTCATTTTTGAACAGAATTTGTGAGCCGTCTTTTTGTGCACTTGATTTGTATGGTCAACACAGATTTTTACTTATCAGCTTTAAATTTTGAATGCTTTTAGGCTCTTGTAGTAAATATTGAATTTCTCGGTGGAATAGTTGTTTCACTTTCAACGTGGAGCTTGAACACATCAGCTTGAGTCATAAAGTAGGTAATCCTCGTAGTTGTATATATTATGATGATGGCTTAGTTAATAGCAGCTGTGCAATTATTGGCATTGCTATTGTATGTTTTCCAGCAGCCAGAAGCTTAAGCAAGACTCGTCAAATGGGGAAAATAGCTTATCAGTGACCTGATGAATGAATTTTCTGTCACTATGTCTTAACTTAAGTATTTAGTAATTATTGTACTCTTTGCTATTTTATTCTTCAAGTCTTCATCAACACCTCACGAACCTGATTCTCTGAGCAAATATTGATGAGCTTACCGGAGTAAGCTCTTCTGTTGTTTTCTCTAGCACATTGTAGAATGGCGAAGATTTCTGCCTGAAGTGCGGTTGAGTATTTGCCCAAGGAAAATGATAAGCTTGCTAGCTTGCCCTCGGTCTTTTCCTTAATACCGTCAGCGGTCTTAGGTTTACTTAATATATAGGCTAATAACTTTTTAGGGAAACGCAAAATCAAAAGAAAAAGGACACAATCTTCTTTAGGAGTTTTAGCATTAATATTTACAATTATTAGTTTTAGCAGTTTGGATTTATAAAGGGTTTTGTGAAAATTGTTATACAGGGTGTTTCAAAAAACATGTGCCATCTCTCGTGGGGAGATTCCTCACATAAAATTAAGATTTATTTTTCATATCAAGATAGGTCCGATTCTGCTTTGTTTCGTAGCTACAGGGTGTTTAAATCTTAATATTTTTTCGATTTATTATAATTTTCTTCCAAGTACTTTTAGCATTTCGAATAAAATTTTGAAGGTAAAAGTTAGTATTTTAAAACTAAAAAAGTGTCTACATATTCACCAGGATCGTGCATATAGGTTACCACTGGAATATTTTTCTAAAAAAAAGCATGTAAGCCGCTGACCTTTTTTCTCTTGTTAGCGAAATAGTGTAAGAAGTTTAATGCTAATTAAAAGTTGTCTCTTGATATTTTGTCGATTGAATGAGATAAACGCAATTTTATTAATTTGCCTTGATCCAAGTCTAATAGCAACCTTTAAAAAATTTTAATATCATTAACTTCATCAAAAAATATGAAAAAAGTTCCTATAAACATGAGTATGGAAATGCACAGTTTTAGAGTTACAGGATATTAAAACTTTTAAAATTAGTTTTTTTGTAATTATCTTAAACACCATTATTTTTTTATTTGAAATTGCTGTAGGTTGGACTAATATAGTAATAATAACTAATAGTAATATTATTTAATAATAAACTAGGCAAAATATATGATTTATTATTATTTTTTTATTTTAATTTGATTAATTGTAATTAATAAAATTGCGTTTATCTCATCAAGGAGGCCGAATTCGACAAAATATCAACATATAACTTTTAATTGACATTAAACGGCCTATACAATTTTGATATTAAAAGACAAAAGTCAGTGGCGCACATGTATTTTTTTTTGAAAACTATTTTAGTGATAACCGATATGCCCGTCCCTGATGAATATGTCGACACTTTATTAGCTTTAAAATATGTCGCATTTATAGTACAGGTACTAAAAGTACTTGGAAGAAAATTATAATAAATCGAAAGACAATTAAGACTTGTAGCTATGAAACAAAGCAGAATTGGACCTGTGTTGATATGAAAAAATAAACATATTTTTTACGTGAGGAATCTCTCCACGAGAGATGGCACATGTTTTTTGAAACACGTTGTATAATATTTTTAAGCGTTAAAATGCTAATATTCATAGTCGGCAAATAGATGGGTGTAAAATTATCAGTTAAATAACTTACCATTTTATTAATCTGCGTAACTTACGTATTTATACTTTTAAATTTATGATGCGTTTATTAAAACGCAAGATACTGCTATAGGTAAATAGTTGCGTATTATATGTAATATAATTTTACATTTGTCAAAATAATATACCGCGACCTGTTGATTAGATTTCTTTATCTTATCAATATGAATCAAAATATGCAATACATCCAAACGATGCTACACTAACGCAAAATCTTAACAATGATATGTCAATTGGTTGTAAATAAAAGTTTCATTTATATCATGTCTTTATTATGTTTTCAATGTTTTTTTATAACATAAATATTTGTTATATTTATTATGCCAAAGAAGCTTAAATCTAGACTAATAAAACGTTTTCTTCTAAGTAGTGCTGCATTGGAAGGAAGCAGGTAAGGCAAAATTTGGTGTACATTCTTTACAGTGTGTATTTTTTTAGAATGTGTAGTGTAAATTTATACAGGGTGGTCCGAACTGTATTCCGGAAACTTCGGCAGCATAATCTGCAGATAAAAATAAGTAAAAAACTTCGTATAAATGTATGTCCTTAAATGCTTATTTTCGGAGATACAGGGTGTAGAAGTTCCATTTTTATTTCGATTTTTTTCAAATAATTTCTGAAGTAACGTCAATATGTGGATGAAAATTGGTGTCTGGGAGTTTTTTGACATGATAAATTTGATTTTGATCTCAATATGACTCCTGCTTGTAGAGGGCGCCACCTACATATTTTTTAACTGGTTTGAAGACTAATAACTTTTCGTCCGTACCTGTATAAAATTACTGAGTAGAAAATATACATTTGCGACATTTTTTACGTAAAAAAGGTCTCTTGGTAAAAATCGCTACCGAGTAATGGTTCTCGAGATATTTGGAATCAAAATTATCAATACCTGTCATCATTGACATGAATTAAACATGTTGACTAAATAGTTATCAAACTGAAATCATAAATTTGGAATGTTTTTGTGTCAAAAGTTCAACAGAAACTGTTTTATCATCATTTTTTCGCAGAAAAATTTATTATTAATTTAAAAAAAATCCCAAATTTATTATTTCAGTCAAATAACTATCTACTCAACGTGTTTATTTTTTTGTCAATAATGACATGTATTGACTATTTTCATTCTAAATATCTGGAGAACGGTTGCTCGTAGCGATTTTTTCCAAGAGATATTTTTTACGTAAGAAATTACGGAAATGCGCATTTTTTAACTCAGTAGTTTTATACAGGTACGGATAAAAAGTTATAACTCTTCGAACCAGTTAAAACACATGTAGGTGGCGCCCCCTATAAATAGGAGTCATATTGACATCAAAATCAAATTTCTCATGTCAAAAAACTCCCAGTTACCAATTTTCATCCAAATATTGACGTTATTTCAGAAATTATTTGGAAAAAATCGGAATAAAAATGAAACTTCTACACCCTGTATCTCCGAAACTAAACATTTTAGGACATACATTTACACAAACTTTTTTACTTATTTTTATCTGCAGAATATGCTGCCGAAGTTTCCGGAATACAATTCGGACCACCTTGTGTAATATAAATTATTAATGAACGTGTATATTTAATATTCAGTAAGTGGTAGTCACTTATATAGTTCATTTTTCTCTTTGTTTTTTCTTTAGATAACTTTATTTGGTAAAATTATACCTACCCTTTGTTTATTTTTTGAATGATCTGTGTTTTTAGTTGATTTTTGCGTTAGTGCTTAGATAGTTTTATTTTATGGTTATTAATGTTAATTTTACTTTTATTTTACCAGAGTAAATATTTTTATATTAGTTAGGTATGTGCATTAAAATGCTACTAAATATTACATCAATTTGCAGATATTTTTTCATAAAGTTAAGAAAATATAGAAACAAAAATGTCTGAGAGATGAATATTATCCACATCTTTAGATTATTGTTATCTTTGGCGGAATTTTGACCAATTCCGATCAGAAAATTTTTAGTAAGAGAAAAATAGTTTTGTAGTAGTATTTTATTAGATAAAAAAAAACAAATAGTAATAGGAACAAAGATGTATTTTTGTTGAATAACTGTTTTATATACAGACATATTTAAAAGAATTATTTTTTTAATTATTTAGTGATTGTTGTGATGTATTCAGGGTCGACAAAACGCGTCCTAAATTTAAGAAATTGAAAATGTAATTAATTCATTAAACATGACCAGGTAAAAACTGTAAGCTATTTACTGGACAAAAATCAACCACTCACATCACACGCGCTGGTATACGTAATAAAATCGCACCAAAATTTGTAATTTAACTTTTATCATTTAAAAAAACATCAAATGTCCATCATCTTATTGTTTTACTTACTTTACATTTCTTGTACATTATAATGGTTTAAATAACTCATCTGTGTGACTAAAATATAGTCATCATTAGGCCGTATTTTTGTTGGCGCTGCGATAAACAATAAATGTAAAGATAAAGATACTAGTAAAAGTATAAAGATAAAATATTGAGTAAGAGTAGATTGGACACTCGCCAAGTCGGTCCGCGTAAACAAAGTAGGCCAGTCCAGATTAGCCCTAGCAGTCAAAAAAGGAGACGTTAACTTAAAATTGACTTTTTACTAGTAAAACAAGTGACATAACGAAGTAAATTGCATGTAGGGTGAATATGCCAGTGGTCGGAAAGTTTAGAAAAAGCGAGTTTAAATTGTTGATTAAATTTTCTTTATTGGTGGCATGGAAATGAAATAGATAGTGTGGTTATTGGGCATCACGTTAAATATAACAGTTTTTTTCACAAACCTGCCAATGATTTTAATTATTTTTTTAAATGATAAAAGTGCTGTTTTGTCAGTAGTTGGACAGTGCTTGCCAGTGTCCGGCCGGGTAGATATAACATAATTCGGACGCTTTGTGATTGGCTGATTCTGCACAGTTCCATATTTCATATATGTATAATTTTAAAGCAAATTTAATCCTGAACATTATATACCATTTTTTGTTGTATGTTATCTATATGAAAAAACATCTTTAAACGATAACAACGCGGTTCGTAAAACCATGCTTCCAGTAAACAGCGTTTTCAATTTTTCTTCTTCTAGATACAGTTTTTTCCACTGTATTAAGTAACACCTGCTTTTTTATTGGGAATCCACAAACGGCTAAGTTTTCAATCCAGGTAACATTTTTTTTCAATATCCCTGGTTAAAACATGTTCTGGTTCTATTCGTTTGCAAACGTCACTTATTTGTCTTCAATACGGTCCTGTACTCTTGACTTGGAACCCTTTACTGACTGCATGTTTTACGCGATTTTCCCTCTTCTCGGACAGTTTGGACTGTTTTTTCTAATACATCTTTATTTTATTGATGAAAACTAACTTTTACTTGACTTCATGCTTGAAAATAACCAGTATCTCATAAAAAATCACACGAAAAGGGGCTACTGGACCTCTCAAATATATTAAATATGGTATTCACCGGTGGTCGGACAACTTTTATCTCCTTTGATCTCCGTTTGTGTTGAGTTTTTTTGTCCGACCACTAAACACTACCAAAAACTCATGTTTCATTATATTTCAAATGAAAAAGACAGTAGATATTACATATCAATTTCCAAGAAAAAGACTAAAACAAAAGAGTTATTTTTTGTTTTAGTTAAAACGAGTTTATCGAACACCGGAATTTAACTTCCTTTACAAACTATCTCACCTCCATCTTTAACAGGCAAAGAAAATGTTATAGAACAAAGCGGAAGAATTAGCAGAATTGGATTTTTAATTATTTGAAGCAATACTAAGCCATATTTTCACTTATTTCCCAATAAATACGTTTTGTCCAACCGCTGGTGTATGTCCGACTACTGGCATATTCACCCTATTGGTATAGGAAAACGCCGCTCTACTCACCGATTTAACATAAGCAGCTGTGTACAAATATATGCATTTTATTCGTCGATTCGCTAGTATCTTTGCTCTTATCATTTATCACAGCTCCAACATAACCACAGCCTAAGTCGCCAATCTGATTTCGCACAATTATAATTCGTCAAATATAGGATAATATTTGGCCATTTTCCTAGGATTGCCAACTTTATTATTATTATTACAAAAATCAACAGTAAGCGGGTAAAACCCGATGAGACTATTGAATCACATAATCACATTTATCTATCACAGTTGAAAAAATAAATAAATGAATATTGCACTGCGTACATTCAATTAAAAAACAAATTACAAATCAAAATTAACATCACAGTGTACGATCACATGTAGTGAATAAAAAGGTTGTTCCAGCTCTTCATTTCCACATCAAGTCTATTCTTAAATATATTGACACTTGTAGCATTCACTGTATCATACTGGAGCCTGTTCCAGCTATACACTACTCTATTTGTAATAAAGTTCCGCCTTAAGAGCTTATTACAGCGTTCTTTATCCAATTTTTTGTTATGTCCTCTAAGGTTGTGCGTTTCACTGATATGGAAGATGTTCATAACGCATCCATAGTAGCCACTTGTAATCTTGAATGTCTCGATGAGATCGCCACGAATTCTCCGTTCACGAAGAGTTGTTAGACCAAGCCTTTGCAGTCGATCCTCGTATGGCAAATTCCTGATCTCCAAAGGAATCTTAGTGACCCTCCGCTGAACACGCTCAAGCTTTCACAATAAAATATAGAGTACGAGAGGGTAAAAGCCTCCACAGGCGCAACATTTTTTAAAACCTCGCCCAAATGTTGTCAAGAATTGACCCAAAATGTTATGTAAACTTTATGCGGATAATGGTCTTTTTTACCAAAGATCTCCTACAATTTTTTTTATGTCAACATAAACTAACATTAATTAAATACAAAAAAGCCAAACATGTTTATCGCATCCACAAATATTTCTTGTACTTAAATATTTATTTTCTGTACGAACGAGTGGGAGTAACGAAAGACACATTGTTTCCGTATTAACAATTTTATTAGGCAATGTGGCGATAGACGATTATTTTTATATGAGCTTAAAAGGCGTAAATTTTAAGGTTAAAAATTTTGAGTGTGTAAAAAGAGGATTTTTCAAAATGAGAATGAAATTAGTGAAAGAACAGTACGATTCAAAAAAGCTCTGGAATAGAGGACAGTTGGCAACCCTAGACTTTCCCCACGGCACAACGGCTGTGTTGTCAACTACCAGTACATCTTTATACTAATCAAGTCATAAATAGTTAGAAAGACTGACTTAAATATTAATTTTTGTGACAATTTCAAGATGACATGTAGTCGGTAAAAATTTAAAATTTGATAATATTTTAAATTTTGAAAATATTATAAAATATTAATTGAAGGAAAAATTTCCTTCAATCAACGTTCAAGTGCATATGCATCAATCAAAAAAAAAGCATATTATACAAGCTACATTTCTCTCAATGCCTGATTATTTATTGCGCATCGAGGGAAAATGGTTGCATTGATAAATTGCCATATCATTTTATTATTTGACGACCTGTAATAATGAATACCTAATATATGTATATGAGTGTTATCGTATATTATTCTTAATAGATATTTTAGACAAGTAGGTGTGTGTAATTGATCCTGTGCATGTTTTACAGTGATCCTAATTCAATTTTGGGTGGTGTTAGGTTGCCACCTGACACCGAAATTATCAAGTACACCTCTTCCATCGTGGGACCCAAGATTCCGGGAACCACCAATCGCGGCAGGAAGAAGACAATTTCCCTAGATCCGCCTTCCGTCAGTGTTCTTCCTTCTCACTCCAGCACAGGGTTATCTATTGAGAGAACATTAAAACGGGCAAGACTATCGGTAAGCTTGATTCTCTGCATTCGATTTTATTGTTCTTTTGTTATGTTACCTAAATTCTTGTCACAAACTGAAATATTTCTATATAGGATGATGATACGCCAGGAGGTACATCCATGTCAGATAGAGTTGAAGTCATCAAACTTCCCGCCACCAATGGAAGTCCATCAGGTATTTCATCATTCAACTCTAGTGATGGTTCTGGAGAGGCCCCATTAAATCTTTCTCTCAAACCAAACTACACAACCAGTGGTAGTACTTCATCTCTAAATTCTTTAAGCAATATGAGTGCTAATATAGGATCGGACCGAATCTGTAAGTACACGTAATTGGATTTTAGATCATACAAAAATGCTTCATAGTTTTACTTGATCATACATTTTACATAATATGTTTGATAAAGTTTTAGTACACAGAGTCATTTTTTAAGAATAAATATTTTTTTAATCCTATATTTACAGTACATAACGATTATCCTAAGGGGTTAATTGAGGGGTTAAAGGGTTATCATGTTATAAGAAGTTCTTATATACCGGATCGGCATTTCTGGGTTTGGGTGCCGATTTTTGTGTGTATGAAGACTATATACCGTCAATACGCTCAGTACAATAAGATGTACTGAATAAAGAAAGAAGAGTAATTAGCGTCGGATTAAGTGGTTATGTAATAAACACTTGGCATTTTGCTCTCTCCAACTTACAAGATCGCCATAGCGATTTGCTCTTAGATATTTAAATATCAGCCCAAGACTTCTCTTTCAAAATGGCATAAATCAGTTTTAAGTAATTAAAAGATTATTATTATAAAAGAATTTAATCTCAAATTTATTGGAAGAAAGGGGTTAGTCTTTATTGTTATCAAATAATAGTGAATGGCTACTTTCCATTTAATTAACTCTATTAGATCACTTCGAAAGACCCCGAATAAAATTTGAAAGTAGTAGAGAGTCCAAATTTATTGAAATATTTGAAGTCTTCTTTGCAATTTAAAAAGCCATTTACTTTTCATTATATCTCTTTCATACCGTTCTTGTATTTTTGTAAGTATAATATAAAAAGTCTATTATAAATTAAAAATGTATTTATATTATAGAATTAGAAATTACATTATTACATTTATTTTTATTAATTAAATCTAGCAGAAACTTTTTGCGTTGATTGACATACCTCAAATAGTTTGTTGTACTACTGCATTTTTATTGAATAATAATTATGAGATCAATCGACTTACCTGTAAGGAAGAGTGATCCTAATTATACGAGCAGCCTCGTCGAAAGATTATAAACACCCTGTAGTTGCAGCGCGACTATCCTATCTACGACATTCAAAGAAAAATAACAATTTTTTGCTTCCCTGACTCAGCGCACAGGCCCACATCGAGCCTCGCCGCTGATAGCCTATTCATTGTAAGAAAGGTCTAGATTGCCAAGGGTAGGGATCAATTCAACATGTGATGTCAATAAGGGCTGGGAAGTTTATAATCTTTCGACGAGGCTGCTCGTATAATTAGGATCACTCTTCCTTACAGGTAAGTCGATTGATCTCATAATTATACTTCGCAGCCTCGTCTCAGATTATAAACACCCTGTAGATATTTAAAGAATATGGCAATCTAGACTGAGAATCCCTATGTTGAAAATAAGATATATTTATTTTATTCAAAGGAGAGTTTACATCCTTTGTATTTTCTAATAGTATGATATCAAATAATCTACATAAATATTGATGATAGTATAATAAGAATATAACAGAACAATAATAATAATAATAAAGATATAACAAACGAACGTACTATATGACTAGATAGTAAAATCATAAACACATTTGTAATAATAACATAACAAATGAACGTACAATCTAGGTAGTAAAAACACTTATTATCTATTTTTAGTAAAATTATTTAAATAATCCCTGAACTTTTTAACATACTGTTTGTAAGATCGGAAATGTTTGACAATATTGGTTTATTGTAAAAGAAAACATTTTATACCGTTAAGTCCTCCTGCTGCTTTTCTTATGGACTCAATATTCGCACCACCCTTAAAAAGACGCAGATGTGGATGCATGTCTCCACCAATAGGCAGAGAAAATACTAGTGCCTATTCTACAGATACCTAAAATATTCTTAATCCAATAACCAATCGTCTAACTGGAGACCGATCTATTATTTTTTATCTGGTCGTAACGATATAGTTACTTTTAAATATTCGATAATTACAGAAGCTAAACAGAGTTCTGGCTTTTTCTTAAAAAAAATGGTAACATTAAAACTGGTTGAGGTTTGTCTCACCCCGATATTTTAATATTTTCTATTATAAAACTTGTAAATTATCTTTAGTCTTATTAATATGTTTAATATTGATTTTTGTCAAGATCTGTAACCTTTGCCCGGATATTAAGGCCAACAATACTACCACCTTAAAATATAATTGTTTAAGGGGTACCATTTCGCCATTTTTATTAATACCGGGTGTGGATCCCATGTAAAATTGTATTTAGGTTTTGGGGATTACCATTATACATTCCTTTTAAAAATATTTTTTATGACATACTGATTTTCTTCCTTGAAGGCAAGTATCATTGTGCTATGTATTAATATTAGATTAAAAAAAATCCCGAAATAACATTCTCTGTTAGAAATTTTATAACTATAAGGACTATATAAAAAATAACTATAAAGACTATATGAAAAACAGTCAAATAGATTATTACCACAGTAACTCCATCATATTCTAAAGACACACTCGTACTGTCGGTGGGTACTTTCATTTATTGAGACAAGAATGCCTTTTATACCAATATCAGGAACGGATCTCTTGAGAAATATGTCCTGATAACCCCCCTGCAACCACGATAAGTTTTTGTTGGACACAAAATAAAGAGACTTTGAAACAAGAGATACCAGGGTGACTCTAGGCCCATCTAGGAACTATTAGAATTCCAGTATGCAGTTGCTTTATCTTCAATAATCTTTTTATGATTTCGTTGATAATACTGAAAGGTAGAAAAGCATAAAAATAACGATCTGCCAATGATACAAGAAAGGCACCAACTGCAATGGAATGGTCTGGTTTCCATGAGATATATAAATTACATTTTGTATTAAGTTTCGAAGTAAATAAATCTATTTCTGGAGGCTTAAAAATATGACATAGTTTAGCAATTTTTTTTTTTTTTTCATAGTTTAGTTCATATTTAGTCTGAATTTGAAGACTTCTGAATTATGACTTCGATTGGACTTCCATTGTATTATGATTTCTGTTGATATAGAATGCGAAAACATATATATTTGGAATCCCGCAATATTCCCAAATATCCTGTGCAATCTTGTTAAACTTTTTTTTTTTTTTTTTAATTCATTGATATTAATCAACAAAGCCACCACAAAATATCCTTGTTAATAGATGAAGGGACTTCAATCTTTTTATTATAATTATTTATAGCATTAAATATTTTCCAAAGATGCCCGGTGGCGTAGAGGTACAGGCTCTCGCCTACCAATCTAAAGGTAGTGGCTTCAAATCCTACACCCGGCATTACATCAGCCAACTATTTTTATTAAGAATAAAAATAGTTTGGTTAGGAATTTTTATTAAAAATGAAAATAATTTGGGTATCTAGGTGGACTCAGCCTTAAATGAGTACTTGGAATTCACAATCTTGAGGTAATAATAGGCGGTATTGAAGCGTAGTGCTAGCCACATCACCTTCCTTGTATACCGAACGGCTCTAGCATGGCAAGCTGTACCTTACTACTCCCAAGGCGTTAAACGCTATATACGGGAGCTATTATTATTATTATTTTTTTTTTTTTTTTAAATGTTTACCCTTTCTAAGAGTTTTACATGTGCCCAACCATATTGTATTGCAAGACATGCTGCCACTAGCACACCAATATAATTTGCCATTTCACGAATAGAACACGATTAAGAATTTGAGCAGAGAGCATCTTTTCTTTTTTCTCGAAATGTAACGACATTTTAATTGTAACAGTATTAGAATTAAAACCCAGAAACTTAGATTCCTGTGTGGGAAATAATATACTTTTCTCTTATTTTATAACTGAGCCTAATGACGTTAGCAATTGTAGAACTTTATTAGAATTTTTTAATGCCTTACTCATAACTTGGCGATATTAATAGAATATCATCCAGGTATCCCACACAAACAATACCTAAATGTCTTAAGTACGTAAGGACTGGTCCTAATAGCTTGGTAAAAAGATTAAAGAACAGCTGTCCATTATATTCAAATTTAAGATACTTTTTATATTGATCGTCAATCTTGACTGAATATTAAGCAGTCAATTTTAAACAAAAATGTATTTTGATGAATACAAACTTCAACACTTCTATAATCCTCTAACTCAAAGTATGGTGGGTCTACTAACTAGGTGAACTTTTTAAGATTTAATATAAACTGTAACCACCCATTATGTTTTTTAATTATAAAAAAAAAACTTTAAATAAATTTATCTGTCTCAAGGTGAGACTTAGATATAGCAACAATATCAAGAAGATCAGCAATAGTCTACTGAATTCTTGATGTGAAAATTGAGCAACGGGATTTCGACGCAAACCACACCTTGTAAAGGTGTTTTACTGATAGGAAGTCTGTAACCTTTAATCCATTCTAAGACTAGAGGATTTTTTGTAATATTTTGTCAATTACTATAAAAGTTACTTAGATAACCAATATTATTTACTTCCTGAAGACTACTTCCTGAAATCCATTATCTTCCAACTCTTTCTCAGCTTCTGGTCCCTCCTGCTCCCCTCCGACTTTTTCCGATGACTGAATTTGAACCACTTGGCTAAAAAATCCGAGGTGTGATAGTTTTTTCGATACCCTTGAACCTGAACTTATGCTTGGATAAGATCTGGTTTTTATCTTTGCGCTGACCTTTTTTAATTCTTAAGCAGATTTAATATGACTTGACAGTTCCTTCCCAAAAAGAAGGCTCTGAATGGGTCTGTCCACAAAAACCTTTTTAATATTTTATTTAAATAACCCTTTACTCGTAGGACAATAACAATGTTGCCCGCCTATGAGCTGAGCTAAAGAAACTGCATATATTAATTTATTCTTTATTACAAACTGCGATAAGCGTGTTTTTTTTTTTTTTTTTGTGCCTGCCGTAAATATTTACGGCTCCTTTGGCCCTTATCTACGAGAGCATGCATAAAATACATCTGGATAAAATACATTTGGCCTTTATCTACAAGCATGAAATGTTTCAGCTTGATTCTCAGGGCTATACCGAAAAATCCCATATTAAAATTCGGGAGGACAATAATCATATAATATTCTAATAATTTAAACCACACAGGTGTGTGATTAAAATATATAAGCGTACTTATATAGCAATTAATAAAAAGTAAATGGTTAAAATAATTATATCCACAAATTACTTTTCTTAAATATTCGTTATCCGTAGGCATAAACAAGATTGGTTGCCTATGGATTAACACAAAGAAATCGTATATTACAGATAAAACACTGCGATGTTTTTATTTTGTTCCTGCCGTAAACATTTACGGTTCTTCTGACCTTTGCCTCTGCGAGATAAGCATGAAATCTTTCAGCGTTAATCTCATGGTCATACCGAAAAACCAAGATTGGTATTCGGGAGGAAATAATACTTACTATTATTGCACTACGATGTTTTTATTCTGTTCCTGCCGTAAAGATTTACGGCTCCTCTGACCCTTGCCCTTTTGAGATAAGCATAAAATAGGTATTTCAGCGTTAATCTCAGGGTCATACCGAAAAAACCGAGATTGGTATTCGGGAGGAAATAATACTTATTATTATTGCACTACGTTGTTTTTATTTTGTTCCTGCCGTAAAGATTTACGGCTCCTCTGACCTTTGCCTCTTTGAGATAAGCATGAAATAGGTATTTCATCGTTAATCTCAGGGTCATACCGAAAAAACCAAGATTGGTATTCGGGAGAAAATAATACTTATTATTGCATGCCACTTCTAATCATCATATATTAAGGCAGGTACATCAATAAATTAATAATTTTAAACACAGAGAACATGCGTTTAAAATTTGTATTAATAAGCTGATTATCAAATCGCCTTTTCTAAAACAAAAGGAAGCATTAGTATAATCTACTTACACCACTGTTGTACGCCTTAAGCTTTTTATTAAGTTTTCCTCAAAATCTGATCACTTTTACGTTTAGGCATTTTGAACGCACTCTCCGACAGGATACGACACGATACAAATGAATAGGCTATCAGCGGCGAGGCTCGATGTGGGCCTGTGCGCTGAGTCAGGGAAGCAAAAAATTGTTATTTTTCTTTGAATGTCGTAGATAGGATAGTCGCGCTGCAACTACAGGGTGTTTATAATCTGAGACAAGGCTGCGAAGTATAATAATACTTTACACTAGTTGTTTCTTTCTCGAAACGTCATTATTGAATGCACAGTCTTTGCTTCAGTCCTTAAGTCCTGCTGCACCATAGTCATATATTTTAACCTTAAACTTTTAAAATGAAGTGAGACACTATACTGTACCACAACTGTACAAGGTGTTCCATTTTCGTGTGTTTAGCAGGGTTTCTCGTTTATGAGTACAGCTACAAAGATGCGGTTTTCAGATCACTTCGCTATTTTGTATGAAACTAAATATGCTACACACAGATTTGTTCTAGCCCTTTTAGTTCCTGAAATACAAGGCGAAATTGAAAATGTTGCACTTTTCTATCCCCTTCGTATCTCGGTTATCTTATAACTTAGGTGTAAACTGAGTCCCATAGAGTTTTTCACGCAGAATTCATTGGCGTAACTAGATTTTTACTGCGAGCAGTTATTCTTGAATTTTTTTAATGGGACACCCTGTGTATTATATTTTTATTTGTCTTTGTTGCGAAATATTCAATACGGAATAAAAAAAGGGCGTCGTAGCTCCTATAATAAATAACTTGCACTACTCACTATTGCCGGACCCTGTATACCAGTAACAAATGTTTACCAAGTACACGAGTCGTGTGAGTTCGGCTTTAGAAAGCTCATGAAAGGCAAATAAAATAACAAAATAATATACAGGGTGTCCCATTTAATAATAACATAAGTTTTAAAACACATTCTTTTTCCACTATTCTAAAGATTTGTTTCTAAAGCACCTGATCAGACCCGATCTTCTTTACTTACCAAAGGCATCCATGAAACAGGATCAAATTTTTTAATGATTGATAACAATGAACATAGTTTAATGATCATAATGCATACGTATTTGATTACCCAGTTATCTCTCTGTTTTCCAGCTCGACGGAAACCGGGACCCAAACCGCGCCGCGTCATTCCAATGGAATCGACACCACCCCCTCCTTCTAGCACTCCCAATACCATACTGAATCAGTACTTCTCCGGGATCGATTCGCCAAGGCCTCCAAGTCGGAACGAGGGTTCGGACGGTGGTAGTTCCACTTCGTCCACGTCGGCGGCGCCATCAGGCCCGTCGGGGACCGGAGGAATCAGTATAATGAATCACAAAGAGGGCAGACCGAGGAATTTAGGCCGGGGCGTCAGCAAACCCAAGAAGAATACGGTTGCGTCTTTGTTAGCGCAAAGTAGAGCATTAGGTAAGTACTAAAATAAGTAGAGCTTTTTAGTCAGTCAGTCAACAGGTTTATTACTATAGGTCAACATGCCCAAAACAAAAAAGCATGCGCATTTATAAGCCGTTGTATAAAAGACAATCGTTAAATGAGATATATACCGGCTGTTTTTTCAAAAGTGGCTCACCCTTATAACATTTTTATTTTTTTCAGAAAAAAACAATGATATTTGATATGTTCATATATGACATAAATCGGGATTGACTGACGTATTTAATTATAGTACGAGAGCTAGCAACGTCGGAAAAACAAATATTTTAAGACGTCTGGCTCTTTGATATATCTTTTACTATGTCTGTAGAACAGCATGCGGCCCGTCTGGCTGCCGGTAAACGTTGCGTTCCCTACTGCGCATTAAAAGAAGATCCTATATTTTTATTAGTCCTTTAAATTCTAGTATTGAATATAAATCGAACATAGCGCAGTGCGTAGAGTTTCCGACCACGAACCGATGGTTCAGAATTCGAATCCGGGTCAGGGCAAGGACTTTTTATTTTATTTTCGTTTTTATTCTGATAGTAAAGTATTAAATATTTGTTTTTTTTTAATCACCAGAATTATTTAATACTTTACTACAGTAAACGCCACGAATGTTTGGGAGTGATTCATCGCTAGATGAAGTTAGAATCGACACGCGCGCTATCATTTTTACATTAAAAACGTAAATTTTTACCGCAGACGTAGGTTTTTAAAGGCCCGGCCTATTCATCTGCCTGCGCTCCTCCTACTTATTCTGAAATGTTAGCGTGATTGACAAAGACGATACTATATCGCGTTTCTTTGATTGAATCGTTTTTGTGCGTGAGTCCATTGGTGTGCTTGCAGTGCGACCAATGGAGCATTCCATTTTATATTTATAACCAAATATATGTTTTGACAAGCTTTTGACAGTTAAAACAACAAATTACAACAGATTATATATTGATTATTATATGACTTGAAACACCACGGCACTGTAATTAAGTTTTATGTGACCTTGAACAGATTAGTTCACATGGTAGCGACCGATGAATCACTCCAAAACATTCGTGGCGTTTACTATATCAGAATATAAACGAAAATAAAATAAAAAAGTCTTTGCCTTGACCCGGAATCGAACTTAAATCATCGGTTTGTGGTCGGAAACTATACGCACTGCGCTATGGAGACACGTTCGATTTATATTCAATACTAGAATTTATAGCACTAAATTAATAAAAAAAATAGAGCATCTTCTTCCGATGCGCAGTAGTGAACGCAACGGGTATCGGCAGCCAGACGGGCCACATGCTGTTCCTAGGAATTTATAGAAGAAGTAGTAATTTTCACTAAAGATCAAGATAACGCACAAAATCACAATTTTTTCGATTTTCACTGACAGTTCGACAAGCAAAACGATCCTTTAAGGCAACCGTTTTCAAAACGCTCAGCGCAATCAGTAAATACGCTAAGCGCGTCAAACGAGAATACCGAAATCGTTAATTAAGTGCGCGCTCAGCGAAAATTAACGTCATATACGCTGAGCGTCTAAAAGCGCTTAGCGTTTTCAAAGTTACAGAATACGGGCCCTGAATGGCTGGTGGTTATAAGTTTTTTGCCACGTATTATATATTTTTACTAATCATATATGTATATCAGGAGTTGGATTGGCATTAACAACTTATTGCTCTGCAGAGTTTATACAATTGGAGGAATCTGTTAGACCTACTATAATATTGTAAAATCCTAAAATTAAGAAATTGGCGCCTATCAAGTTTTTCTCCTGGACCCTTCAAATGTAAACTTTTGACATTTTTATTTAATATAAATAGTATTTTAAATTTCAACCTAGAGTACTCTAGCCCCATACTTCTTCTGTGGTCATGGCTGTGTTAAAACCACTAATTTTTAATCAAGGAGCCTTTAAAAATAGATTTGATCGTCTAATAATTTTCATGTATTTTTCTGGCTGGTTGGAAGTACCCAAATCGTATTTTTAATCATAACTCAATTTTTTCAAATTCAATGAAAGTCGCTCATTAGCATATTTGGAAAAAGCATTTTTTACAAATAATTTGGTACCACATACTTCATATTTCGAGTCAAATTGTCGTTATATTTATTGTCGTGGCACTCTAGATTGAATTTTAAAATACTATTTCGTTTAAGCGAACTTGTCAAAAGTTGACATATGTCATTCTATTTAGGATGTCACTTTCTATACAGGGTGATTCCTGTAAGTCGGTCATGCTTTCGGGGATTGATAGAGGACGTCGAAATATTAATTTTGATATAGCACACTATGGGTCGGAAATGCCTCTTACCAAGATACAGGGTGTTAAAGTTTTTGAAAAATTAAAGATATTCCTTAATAGTTTTTTAACAGTTGAAGGTATCGTTATAAAATTTTATTATAGGAGTACCTAACAGAGACACTTTAAATGTAAAAAGAAGAGGTTTTAGTTTCAACCAGTGGCGTAGATGTGATACGCATCGGGTAATTTTTGCAAAAAAATAGTACGCTACTGATAAAAAATAAATTTTTTAGAGTTTTTTTTATTTACTCGGTTTATTTCCAAGCAAAAATGTCTCTTGCAACTTTCTCCTATCTAATACCAATTTGTCACAGTTTAAAAATAAATACATTTTTTAATGAGTATCTTAAATATGCCTTATAATATATATATCCTTATATATCGCACATAGCACGCCCACTTATGACCTCTAAAATTGTGCACAGCGCCTGATCGGCACAGTTATTAGAGAGATATCGGAAAACCGAATAGCGTCATGCAGTATTTACGCGTACCTTATCATGGTTACGATATGCGCGAGTCAATTTTTAACGCAACACCCGCTAGTAACGTTACCGCCTGACGTAATTTGCGGATCAATCACACCAAGCGCTATTTCTAAATAACGTTTAAAAATTGCTTAAATGGGTATGCAATCGGGGCCGGCCGGCGAGCGGCGAGATCTTTTATTTTAGGTTATGTTTGAATTGTTTTGAATTATTACTTTAGTTTTATTAGGTAATTTGATATTTAAGTAGCTGGGATTAGTTTCAATTAAATAAATATGGCCCAAAATATGGATTCCACATCTTCCAATATTAAAGAACCTATAAAGAGGCTTAGGTTTACAGCAGATGACGACTTAGCCCTTCTAAGAGAATTTGTTGCTTGTTGCCCTAAACCTGCTGGCAGACGTTGAACAATGAACCACTGGAAATAAGCACTTTAGCCCTTTAGTTTTAAAATACCTATCCTTAAATATATATTTTTTTTTTAATTATAAATTTACACTAGAATTTTTTTATTGTTAATAATAAAATTCTTAGTTTTAAGGTAGTTATAATAATTCTCATATTATTTAAGGTTTCCATTAAAAAAATTATTTATTTTTAAATTGTGACAAAATGGTGTTAGATAGGAGAGACATTTTTATAGCAAGAGACATTTTTTCTTGGAAATAAACCAAGTAAATAAAAAAACTCTGAAATGTTTATTTTTATCAGTGGCGTACTATTTTTTTTTTTGAAAAAATTACCCGATGCGATCACATCTACGCCACTGGTTGAAACTAAAACCTCTTCTTTTTACATTTGTTCTCTGTTAGGTAGACTTCTATAATAAAAAATTTTAACGATACCTTCAACTGTTAATGAACCATTAAAGAATATCTTTAATTTTTCAAAAACTTTAACACGCTGTATCGTGCGTAAGAGGCGTTTTCGACCCATAATATTTCGACGTCCACCATCATTCCCCGAAAGCATGACCAACTTACACCCTGTATAATGAATTAAAAATAATACTAAGGGTATAATTTAAAAATCAAAAGTTGTAGTCATTTTCGGTGAAACAGGAAGTGACCGAAACGAATTGAATACTTGAATCAATTGGTTTATGTCATATACTAACATACCCAATCTTATATCTGAAGAAATAAAAAAAGTTACAGGGGTGAGCCACTTATGAAAAACACCCAGTATTTGTTTTATATTGATACATTAGGAACGGAAGCGGTATCTTTTTAAAATCCTATGTTTTTACCTGGAGTACAATAGTTTTTGTAATAATATTTGTTATCATTATTGTAGGATATATCTGTCACGTCTGTGTCTCTTAAATAAGCAAGTATTTCAACTTGTAGTATATTTAGACCTCGTGAGTTTTTTGCCAAAAAAATGTTGATTTTTTTATCATTTTCCGGGAAACTTTAAAAAAACTTTAGTGCCACAGGTTTGTTCGGAAATTTCTTGACGGTGTATCGAGACGTTGCCACTTCCGCACCTCAGTTGTCATTTCGTCATATTTTCAAAAATACATAAAATTTTAAATTCATATTTAAACTGCCCGCCTTTTTCGTGCTACGTAAGCAATGCAATACAGATACCTATTTTATCGATAATGTCTGTCATGTTTCCATTAGTTCAGTTAGGGCTCAAGAGTGCGCTACTATCGATCCCGGCTAAACGTGTTACCTACTTTTGACTATAGAAATTACATCTTTTATTTTATATTTCTCAATGACACACACTAATACATTTTTACAGCTATTTTTAATTAAACTGGAATAATAAACCTTATAAATTATTACAATTATTATTACGAAGTATTTTCTCCCAAGTTAAGTGATTACTTTCTTGTCGCCGTGTATACGGCAACACAAGACGTGGAATAAGCCGAGAGACGGTTGCCGTAGTGTTGTATCCAGGTTAAAAAGGAAGAAAATATGTTTCTTGTACAGATCAACTTAAAATACTTGCTTATTTAAGACCGACATCCTGTATATTATAAATGGTCTATATACTACGTTATGTTAGTTTCTTATATACCCTTTTTCTCATGTAGGAATTAAGCCAGTGCCAATGTTAGACCCCAACGCTTCAATGAACCAGCAGATGAACCTTTTGAAGTCGAACATTTTGGCGGCTCAGCAGTACATTTCCGAGGCGGGCGGTGACGAAAAAGCTTTAAATAAATTCCTACAGGAAAGGTTTAAGGGCACTTTAAGTGATAGTAGTACGGTAGACGCTTCTGATTCTGATAACCTAACTGATTCTAACCATACTGATTCAGAGATCGAGACCGAGATCGTGGCCAAGAAACAGAAGCAGTACGACGAGCGGTTACTCAGGGTTCCATTGGAAAGAGGTTAGTCTGGTTATTTTATCATGTTGCTTATAATGTTTTCACGTTACAAAAGTATTCATAAAAGAAATCAGATGATCAGTTCCAAATATAAAAAATTGTCAGCGCATATTTGAAGTGAAACTTCTTACTAACAGCTATTAAATTGAATGATTTGAAGGATATTATGTTTGAAAAAGTGTAGTTTGAAATGTTGAAAAAGTAATAAATTAAAAATTAATAAATAATTTGATTCGCTTTCACAAAATTTGTATTAAAATGACCGTCTGTCCGTTTGTCCGTCTGTCAGTCTGTGGACTTCATTCGGGTACCTCTATCCAGAAAAATTCTGATGATTTCGTAATATGGTAAAGTGTCTGCTCGCACAATGACACAACATTTTTTAATCAAAATTTATTTTAATTTTTCTGTATAATCTTATAAAAGCACATCTTCTGTCCATCTATGCTTTCACCTTATCAACTTCTCAAAATTGTTGGCGTCTTTGTCGCTAAAATATTTGTTTATACAAGCTCAAATTTTATCATGAAAAATAAAAAAAACTGTAATCTAAATCAGTAGTACAACATGGACGGTGGTCTAGCTTTTTACTATAAATTTTACCGTGGCAATGGCCGATTGTCTTGGTGACACAAGATTTTTTTCTGCAGATGTATGTAGCTGTTCTGCTGCAATTTTTGTTTATTAGTTTGTCAAGTAATGATGCGTAAAATTATAGCGCTAAAACTTTGAATCATTTTGTCTAAATCGTGCCAACGCAGCGTTAAAATGCGTGAGACCATTAACAAATGGGTCGCAATAACATAAACTTCAGACCCCTTAAGCTAAAAACCATGGAGAAATTGATTACAATAACTAATGAGACTTAATGAGAGTACTTAACGATTTGTATTTTTTGGTAGGCTGGAAAAGAGAAACTGTTATTAGAGGAGTTACTAAAAATGGAGGAATAAGGGGGGACGTCTCCTACGCTGCTCCAGATTCTTCTAATAAATTTAAACAAATGTCCGATATTACACAGGTAAATACTAGAATTAAATTATTTATGCCAGCCACACACGTACAAGTGTACTTGCGCAAACCAGACTTGAGCAAGTACATATACTGGAACGTGTGTAGGAAGAACATTGCGCAAGTATCTAGACTTGTGCGCGTTTCAGGAAAGTTTGGTTAGGTTAGGTTAGTTTTATTTCGAGTCTTGCGCAAATCTAATTTGCGCTAAGCCGCTAATTGAACATTTTACTCGCTAAACTGAAAAAAATCGAGTTTGTGCAAATCGTCTAGACTTGTGCAAATGTAACGTGTGTGGCTGGCATTATTATATTATTCTTAACTGATTACGATAATTTACATATATCATTTTAAAAATCAAAATGTCGATTTCATAATATAACCATTTGTTTTGTCATGTTATTTTACAATATAATTTTAGAAACCTTTGTTTATTAATAAAAAAAATTGCATTTGTTAATTTATTTACAGTAATTACATTATTAAGCAAATTAAGAAGAATAATTGTGTACCTATTAGTAGAGCAATATTAAATGTAATGAGGTATATAAATTATTTGTTTTTGTCCTGCTAAAAATTTTGGTAGCAGTAAATGTTACATATTTGTATACTTTATTTCAGTACTTAGAATACCAAAAAAGCACAGAACTGACAAAAGACAACTTTACGTTTAGTTGTCGAGTTATTATAGGCGATTACTTACAACCAGTACCTCCAGAAATGCAGACTGATGGCAACGAATATATTTATTTGACTGAAGAAGATGTTACAAAAAGGTAAAACTTACATTTATAAAGAAATTTAAAGCTTGTATTTTAAGAAAATGACATGATTAATCTTAGAGATTTATCTATTGCCATTAGTTAGTGTTATTCCCTCATATTCTGGGTGTCGTCTGTTGAAATCATGTATTCTCTTACTGGACAGATTATGTCACAGAATTAAATAACCATACAAAAACGACAAGGGGATTTTTCCGTGGACCAAATTTTGTTAGTTTTTTTGTAATATTTTTAGACTGTAAAAAAATCTTGACATTTTCTCCATTTTTTAATGTAAAAGTGCGTTTAATTGTCAAAATATGTAACTTCAAGGTTAAACAATTGAAAGAGATATTTCAGGAGCCGACGCTTACTGTTGCTTTTGTATGACTAAGGCGTTCTGTAAACTATATTTTATGCATCAAAATGTTCTAAGGAATAAATCAAATAATTCGTAAAATCTATTTAGACTTGAAGAACTGAGAGCAGCAATGCGAACAAGTTTACCTGTAGAACAACGAATAGAAATGGCCAAGAAACAGCAGGCTGCTCGTGCGGCGGCTCGCCTAGACAGAGAACAACAAAGGCTAACAAAGGAGTTAGAAAGAAATGAACGCCAAGAAGCCGCACGAAGAGAACGGGAAGCTAGATCTCAACAGCTATTAGAGGTACATTTTTACCCATTTTAATATTTTTTTTAATACTCTGTTTAAAATTTAGACATGTTTATAACTATTTAAATTATTGTGGAGATTTAAATGATTTAGGAGCCGAATAATATTTTATATTTTATTACATTTGACAGGCTAAAAGGAAACGCCAAGAAGAGTTAGAGAAACAAAAACAAGAAGAGCAACACCGGAAACAACAGGTAGGAGACTATAATTTTGTTTCAAATTATTTTTTAAATTCCAATTTTTCATTTTTATCTTGATTTTTTATATAATTTTTTACATTTATTTTATTAATCTTATATATGTTAGATTTTATTTTCATTAACAAACTTTGGAAGCATTATGATTTATAATTCAAATATCAATAAACCCCCGTCTACATATATAACGTTTTATCTGTCAGTATCACAATACTATTTATTTAAACCACAAACGCGTAATACAAAACTAAAGTGTCAAAACGAATAACAATCAGTTAGGAAATAAATAAATAAATGTGGCAACTTGACATTTTTTACAGCAGAGCTACCATCTGAGGATATAGTTTATTAACTGGCGAACGCAGAATCCTAAGTCAGTCGATTTGCCGTTATTTTGCTACTGCGCACCTTTGACATTTGTAAAACATCCAAAAAATATCTTTTAGGCAACTTGAAATTTGTTTGATCTTAAATTTTAGCATCTATTTAACCCAGAACCAAGCATTTCAGATTATTTTTAGCCGACCATACCAATAGGTATGGTAGGCTATTAGGATCGGCAAATTTTTTTTTTTAATTTTACTCAAAATGAGTTATTTGGGTCATAAATGACCTAAATACAAAATACTTTCGTGGTGTCTGTCTGTCTCTCTGTCTCTCTGCCGTCTGTAACACGATAACTCAAAAACCGCTGAACTAATTTTAACCAAATTTGGCACAAAAATACTGTGGCACCCGAGAATCTGGCTTACTTTTTGATGGGGGTGGGGGGTCGGTAAGGGGGTATGGGATGGGGTTAAAAATTAAAAATAATAAAACAGTAGCTAGCGAAACGCGGTTTTCAAATTAAGATTAGGAATAATATTTGCAACAAAATTTGTAATAACATCAAAATCAGTCAAAGTCGCAGTTTTCGAGATATTAACATATTTTAGTATGGTGCCTATTACTAGTATGGTGCCATTTTACTATACGTGCCTCCCGGCGCCAATTTTTTGGGTTTTAAAGTATAACCTGATCATCCCACACAAAAATCATATATTTAATAATTAATACCTCGAAAATATGTTTTAGACATTGAGATATTTTTTTTTGCAAATGTCATAGGTTGCGCAGCAGGGAAATAGCCGTAAACCCTTCGCCTGACGTATTTTTTTGTGTTTGCCATTTAATAAACTATAATTTTCGTTATTCTAACTTACCTAAACTATGTTCCTTAAATGCGCCGTCAAACAATACAAAGATATTTTCAAATATATGCTGTACTCATTCATATTTAAGTAAAACTTTTTATAATTGCAGGAGAGAGAATTGAAAAGACAGCAAGCCGCTATGCTAAAAGAACAAGTAAGTTTATAAATGTTACGTTATAGATAATTTTTGTGTATTTACTGTACAAAAATCATGAAAGTTGGATGTAAATGTTATAAGCACTCATTATGTAAGCCTCCAATTATTTATTTCAAAAATATTTTTTGAATTTCAATTTAATATTGCTCTTATCATTTATGTTTGAACTCCTGGTTTATACATTTGATAATTAAGGTGTATCACTGTCATTATTTTCATCAAATCATTCAAACTTTTAAAGTGCGTAGATATTAAAACTTTCAGTTGTATTATTGAGTATCTTAATAATAACGTAACTTATATTAATTTTGAATTCAGTTCATTAAATAACAATTTAATGAATATTAACGTATCTTAAATAACCACAGATGTTTTGATTTATATAAAATCTTGACGTTGCCACACGTATATGTCTGCATATTTGTATTCTATTAGCTTTTGTATATACTGTTATGCAGTTTTTTCTCTTCCTAGATTTACATACAGGAGATCAATAAACAACGAGAAATGCTGTACACTGTTGAGTTGGTATGAAATACTTCTGAGTGTCATTGTCTATTTGCTGTGTTTCTTTTTGCATATTAACAATATTATTCGGGCTTCTTTAATATAATTTGCATAACCCTCTTAACATGTTTAATTTTTGTTAAATTCAGGGTGGCGGTGGCTTCTTATGTATTACTTTTTGTTTGGTTCACGGCATAGTGGCTGATTCAAAATTATTTGTTACATTCCGGCTTACTAATTACTATTAACAAGAAAGGGATTTATTTTAGTTATTAAGTTCTTTCCTAACTCCTAATTACTGGATTAATTTCTGTAAACAAGTACACCTAAAATACACACATTAAAACGATATTTTTGCATAATTAAGTTTTATTTTTTAATGCCAATAAAAAGTTGTATTAATAGCATGTATTAGAAACTTTTTATTATACTCTAGTGTTATCTTTCTTTTATTTATTAGGAAAAGGAGAGGCGTCGACAACACCTGGCTTTAATAAAGGCAATGGAAAGTCGTCGAAAACTTGAAGAAAAAGAAAAAAGGAAGCAGCAACTTTTAGCTGAGAAACAGGCTAATAAAGAAAAGAAACTGGAACAAAGACGGGTAGATCTAGAGATACTGACTGAACTAAGGAAGCCTTGTGAAGATCTGGAATTAAATCAAAAACCGTTACCAACATATGAGCGAATACATGGACTAAAGCTCTCCGGAAAAGCATTTGCCGACACATTAATGATCTTCGAGTTTTTGCATAATTTCGGTGAAACTTTGGGTTTTGACATGGACTCGTTGCCAACCTTGGATTCAATACAACAAGCGTTGGTGCCCAACGATCATTCATATGAGGCAGAAGAAGAACTGTTCTCGGTAATAACACACCTTTTAGTTTGTGCCATCGAAGATCCTGGTATTCCCAATCCTGCCAGACATACCACGATCCTAGGTCAAAGTTTACGCCAAGCTGATATTACCCACGTCAATTTATCTGAGATTCTGAGAATATACTTGTACGCAAATGCGACGGGTGAAGTTAAAGCACTGACTGGAGTGCATTTTGAGAGGGATAGAGAAAAAAGGATAGCGGATCATCATCAAACTGAAGACGAAATGCAACAAACAGTAGCTGGAAAAAATTCCCATTACTACGAGTTGTTACATGAAAATCCCACTTACAAAATGTCAGACTTATTAAAGGACAAACCCTTTATAGCTTTGTCTCCAACTGATAAAGCCGCTATTCTCGCTTTCATCTGTAACGAGTTATTACAAAATAAAGCTGTTACTAGACAAATCGAAAATTCTTTAGAAAATATGATTCAGCATAAAAAAGAGAAATGGCTTTTAGACCAGAAAATTAGGAAGCTAAAAGTTGTTCATAGTAAGAAATTGAGAACTGAAGCATTGGAAAAATCTCACAACAAAAGCGAGATGGAAGAAGGTGCTCTCGATTCACCTCATTTGTTACATAAAGACGACTTATTGGAAGATGAGGAGCATGAGATGAGCGACAATGAAAGTGTCGGTACTCAACCAGAAGAGGAAGAAGATGCTAAGTTATCGGGCGAGGAACTAGCCAAAAAATTAGAAAAACTCTCCCAAACATCCGAAAACCATCTGCAAACTATAAATACGTCCATGTCACAATTGCGAGCAGTCACTTTTGGAGAAGATAGGTATTTTAGAAGATACTGGTCTCTCCCGCGTTCTGGTGGAATTTTTGTAGAAGCAATGGAGTCGGCCGAACCTGAAGAGTTTGAAGAACAATCCAAAAACGATCAAGTAGAGAACTTAAGTAACGGTATTAGAAACCTGAATGAACTTCATAGTGTGATTGAGAAGGTGGAGAAAATTGATGACCACGCCGACGACAAGGAAGTTAGCAGTATAGTTGGGGGATCTGACACTGATAAAGAATCTAACATTGCCATAATTAAACCTCAGACTAATAATAACGAAAGTGAGCACAGGAAGACGCCGAATAGATTAGAGAACGGTGAAATAACAGAAACACATAACTTAGCAGAGTTAAATAAGAGCGTTGAGAACATAGTACAAAGTTTAGAAGAGAGAATAGAGGCGTGCAAAGAAGAAAAACTTACAGAATCTCAATTACAATCTGATATCAATGATGCGAAAAATCTAGACGACAGTGATTCTATTTCTAATAGGAAATTTAATTTATTCGAAAGGTTAGGCCAATGCATGGAGCGGGAAAATAGAACCGAGGAAGATCTGAAAGCCGAAGTAAAGGCAGAGGTGAAGGAGGAACTTAAAAACGAAATTTTGAAAGAACTAAAGCAGGAAATTAAATCTGAGATAAAGACGGAACTGGAAGAAAACGACGAATTCAAATGGTTCAGTATTTTACATAAAGATGGCTCCACGTGCGACGAAGTACATCTAACGGCCGGGAATAAGTGGGATAACGGTAACGTAGGCGCCTGCACAAAAGATATTACCGAGTTAAAAATACCTGTTTTCCCACCGCCTTGTTCGAACAGCGGGATGAACTTACATCATAACTGTGAAAGTCCTGCTCCGCTCCAAATGACGTCTGAAGAAAGCGTTCAGTTAGAGCTTATTAGAAAGCACGGTATGCCTTCGTCGTTTGAGAAGAAACCCGTACCTTTCGACCAGCGGTACGGCTGGTGGCGAATTAAAACTTTGGAACAACTACGGGAAGTGCTAGAAAATCTTCACGTTCGAGGTGTAAGAGAACGAGAATTAAAAAGAAGTTTTGTAATCAATATGCAGCAGATGTACAACAAGGGAAAATTAGTAATTGAAGAGGGTTGCGACGAACTGACGAAATTAAGTGGTGAAAATATCGAAAATATAAACTTCGTAGTCGGAGATATTCCTATGCCGGATGTACCCGGTTCATGGAGCAAGGTCATTGCACACAGGGTAGATATGTTTCTGCTAGAACAGGTATGTTAAATAACATCGCTTTTTACATCTGTTGAAACTAAATAAAATTACATTAGGTTGAAGCATTGGAAGACAAAGTTGCAAGCGCGAGTATGCAGGTTAAGGGTTGGAAAATTCCCGAACGGGACACTGACGATATTCCTTACGGAGAAGTCGTGAATATAATAAAAAATAAGCTCTCTTCGTTGGAAATTAATATTGAGAGGCGGTATTTGAAACCACCTTTAGGTGTCAAGTAAGTAGATAGCACAATACCACATAATACAACCAGTATGCTATATTCTAAACATATTGCGTCGATTTATTTACATTATTTATGTGACATTTGTTAATAAATATTTTTCGCCTATTTTGATATAACTTGCAATGTATATGTAAGTTATCCGTTTCGAAATTTGCAAACTATTTTTCAACTGCGTCCACTAAATGGATTTTTATAAAACTTTGCACACTCTAAAACTGATCTACTACTACCATGGTTACGGCACTAAAAGGGATGCAATATTGCCACTTCCGACACGACCTATATTTCTAATTATTCATACGAGAAATTGCCACTTACAAGTAAAAAATGGCTGAAAGGGATGATACATACTTTCAGAAAAGGTATAAACAAAATAAATATAAAATAAATTGTAAAGTGAAGAAATACTAGTATTAACACGCCATTATGATTAATTTATTTATTTCCGTATTAACATAATAAGTAATTCTAAAAAAATACCCCTTTAACCGTTTTCAAGTTTAATTAGAAATAACGAGAACTAAACTTTCGATTTTAGTATACATTATAACATCTCTAGTTAATACCTGTAATAACGACCACATAAAACGTGTGTTTTGAGGGTAACAAATTGTTTGTGCTCGATTTTAAGTGGCCTTTTGGGCGTTGATTTTAAGACACAAGCCGATCTCTATCCAATGTTTAGTTTTCTGAGGGTTTGTATCTCCTTGCGGTATTGCAATTTTTCAAATAAGAAAATAATGAGCTTATCAAAATTAGAAACTCTTCTTTGTTCATTTTAAAATTAAAATAGTTTACAAATAGAAGTTATTCATTGTCCGTTTTGGCGTTATAATATCTTATTATATTATAGAGAGGGACAATCTTATTAAAGATCTATGGTTATAATTATTGCATACCATAATGGAAAAACTACGTTTCAACAACATGCAACGATGTAAAAATATAAGTATAAACAAACTGTATCGAGCCACGTTATTTCATTTACACTCTTTCAGACCATGAATGGTTGCCGCTAGGTATTTTGGTTTAAACACATCGGCCCAGCCCTACCGTCTAACAGCGCCCCCACCGCAAAGCAGGTAACCCGCGAGGGTTTTCAAAGGGTAGAATGTAGAATGAGTAAGAGGGGGGGGGGGGTTAATCACTGCGACCTTAAAGATCTATTGTGCCCTCCCTTCCTTGAGTCATCACACAATCTATAACCCATCATACCCCTGTTGTAGAAGCGACAGGGTATTTCCCATCCTCCTCTGACAACAGTTCTTCCTCCGAGGGTACACACCCTTCCACGGACGGTTGGAGTTTGGCTCTCCGTGCCGCTCTTCACAGTCGAGGAGCTTGCCTCCGGCTGAGAAACCCGTGAGGTGGAGGCTGGAGGATCTGTCTCCATTTTCTCCACCTCTTTAACTTGGTCACTCCTTAGACCTGATACCGGTGTTGTCCCGTATTTATAATATAGGATATGTCCCTCTTTCTCTGTTGCCTCCTTGGATTTGAGGTCAATTCCTATTGTGAGGACTGGACCATGATCCTCCTCCCTCGAGTTGATGACTCGCCAACTCGATGTCCTTAAATTGAAGTTCTGATATAAGCCTCAGCAGGTAGGTGGTGTCTTTCCCTTTGCTCCTCGGCAGAAAGACCGTTATGGATTTTTTCTCCCTTCACTGCAACCAGTTCCGGCCCTTGCCAATTTTTAAGCTTAGGTGGGATTTCCACCAACCAATTCGCCTATTCTTGAGATACACAATCTATGAGGATCATGCCCACCCGAAAGTGTATCCCCGCAAAACGCAGCTGACCCACATTTTGTAGATCGTTGCGTTGCGATCCGATCGCCAGTACTTCGTCCAGGATAGCCTCTTCTAGAGACGTTTGCTGGTCGGTGGTCAGAGCAACCTCTGGGAAATCCTTTGGCAGCACCGCCATTTTCACTTTTCCAGCAATAGCGGCAAAGCTGGTGATACGTCCCTGCTTGCCTCCAGGTGTTGGACGGCTTTCCATCCTGGCTTTTTTCTCTCCATGCCGGAGAAGAGGTGAGAGGTTTTCGCTCCCTCTCTTGCCCTTTGATGGAGATGAGTCAGGTTGTTTCTTGGTTTCTTTACTCTCCCCTTTTCGGAGGAGTGCTTTCGCTTTTGCTTCCTCTGGAGCAAGTCCTTCGAGGAGCAATCGGAGGTATCTCCGTGCTTCTACCCCGCTAAGATCAACTCTCAGAGGATCGTCTAGCCCGCCTGGTTGACCCAGGCCGGGTAGACGAAACGGTAGCTTATGTCGCTTATTGGGTCTAGAGATAGGCTCCCGACCCTTGCTGGAGAAGGTAGTAGCTTGTGTGCCACTTGTGGAGGATGATCACAAGCAAGTGTCATCCTGTATTCTATCTTCTTTTAAGTGTATCCTGTAGTTTCCTTTGGATTTGGTCCCATGGAAGTTTCATTTGTAATGTTCTGTGTCGCTAGGGGACTTCCCCACAGATTCACCGGTGGTGTTTTTAATACTAAATCTCATAGTGTTCCTACGAGTCGCTAGGGATAGTCGGTTCCCTTCTACAGAGCTCCGCATGCAAAAGTAAGGGGTAAATACAATGGGGTGCCCCCTGATGCCCCAAGGTTGAGGCCAGTAATGGCTAATCCTCTATCTAGCCACGCTTCCCTTGGACCTGGTCCCGTCATCGTGGAATTTAAGTTTTTGGTGAGGTTGTCTCCTCTTGGTCCAGGCGGTTAAGCCAAAACCCCCCACACCCTCTACCCGCGAGACATGACCACAGTAAGTAGAGGGTGCCTGGTATGACGGACAAGGGTAGCCCCGTCCGGTATCGTTATATATCTTGGTGCAATTCCCTGACCACGACACTACAGCCAGGGACAAGACGACGAGTGAGATGCTTGTTAGACCAAGCCAAGCGCTAGGGGAATTCCCCTCAGCACCTGACCAGCAGCTTTCCCACCAACGACAAGGTCTTGCATCTCCTAGGGGAAGCTCAAAGGGTATTTAAGTTGATATAAAGAAAAGGGAAGATATTGATTTCCATGTTCTGTGTTGTGGACAGATAAGGCAGGACTTGCACGTTAAGAATAAAATCAATAATAATTTAATAGCGTAATATCCTATTTAAATATCAGAAGTAAGCTTTTTTTATTAATTGTGTGCTTGTGTGGGATAACAGTGCTACTGACAAAGATCATTAAAAAAGTAATACCCTCGAACGGTTGCATTGTCAATTGAGGGCTGGCTTGTCCCTCTCGAATAAATTTAACAATCTATCTGAGCTTCTCTTCAACGGTTCCGGTAGTACTTAACCCAAATCGTATTAAATGGGCTGTCAATTCGGGTTTCTTAAGTAAATATATCCATCCGGTTCTCAGATCAGATTCGACACTTTCTGCACCGGTTAACGGTATAAGTGTGCTGCAAAATGGTCCTGTTTCAGTAGTGTCGGTATTGCTGGTTGTACCAGGAATCTCCTCCTTTTTCTACATTATCAAATCTGGGACTTGCTTTCACCGTCTGTCGTTTTAAAGTAGCTCTACCCGGTTGTTCCTTCTTTTGAACGGTACCTACTTCAATTTGTGAAGACCCTTCTCGGGCGCCAAATTTGTAACGCTCTTTTTTTCTGGAGAGCGTTACTGACGCCTTAAGGTTTTCTCGGGCGTCACCCTATTGAGTTTATATGATGAAATAATACGGACTGTGCAGGGCTGTGGCGGTAGGTATGGTGGTCGTCGGGAGCAGTTAGGAGCAGTTATTATTAGAGTGGTACACGGAAAAATCCTTGATTGTAGCGTTCGTCGCGCCTTAAATACTTCACCGAAAAAGGGCTTGAATTTCATTTAGGTGAAATTTTTAAATTTTCATTTAGAAACTATATTATCTTGAAATTGTGGCAACCATCGTTAGTAGATTAAATTAATCCGAATTAAATAATTCAGTGGCTAAATTTTTTAAAAATAAAACTTAAATAACTCAGTTATTTTTGCATTTATTTGAAAAACGGAAAAGAGAAAATATGTTGCTTTTACCGAGGTCTACGAGCCCTGAAAATTTGCTCTTATGTAAGGCTTACCCTTTATTATTCCTGTCTGAGATATTCCACTTTTTATATTAAGACACAATGTGAAACTGTGCTGTGACATCTTACAAGGAAGATCAATATGAAAGCTCTATATGTGTATATTTAGTTTTGCTGATGTAACTTGTCAATTTCCTCTTGTTTCCTTGCCACTATAACTTATATTCACTGAATTCAATCCATTTTTTTTTAATTCTAGCACTAATATCCGTTCGAGTACAGGCAGCAGTCAGGACTCTAGTTTCCAATCTACAACCGTCGAATCGGCCACAAGTACCCCCGTTATATCTCAACAAGTTCCACCACCCGACGATATACCCAAAGGCCTTGGAGTGTGGCGCGAAGCAGTGAACAGGGCCTCTACGTCTGCCCAATTGGCTATGTGCCTCTACTCCTTGGAATCGTCGATCGCCTGGGACAAAAGCATCATGAAAGCTGTGAGCGAACCTGCAGAATTTAGCATACAGAACGCCCGCAAATATAACAGCAAGCTCAGTGTGGGTGCTTGTGCCGCTTGACCTTACGCTACTCTACATAGTGCATGCCTTTTATGCCGATTTTCATTTTTACAGTTGTTGGGACGTTTTTTTTCGGATTCCAAAGAGTCGTGATTGATTCTGACTGGCCGTGGCTCAGAGGCAATAGTGTCTGCTCCTGACCGAGTATACCCAGTTCAATCCTTAGCTGATACGGTTCCTCTGTTTATCTAGGATTTGTTCACACTGGCCGACTATTGTCGACTTGATGGCCGGCTCGACGTATGGTTTTATATATTATAAATGAAGTATACACGCGTGGCGACTCGGTTTGAAGCGGCGCTAGTTTGCCTGCTCGGCACATTATTTTAACTGTCAGAACACAAGTGGCGCGGACCTATCAGCTTTGTTTACTAATGGCGTTCCTTAGCATTGTATTTTCTTATTTTCATTTACCGTTCATACTAAGCGGCGCGCAGTTGCGGAATTGGAAGTTTGGTTTTTATGAACCATAGATTAGGGGCGAACAACTGAGTGTATGCGTCGAGTCGGCAGCTGTATCGGAACAAATTAGGCTCGACCGTCATATTCACAGTCGAGTGACAAAAGTTGCTCAGTGTGAAGGTAGCCTTAAAATCCACAAATAATACTGTTTGGATTCGACGATCAAATTTAGGTCCCGTGTTTTTATGAAAAACTACAAATTACACCTATCATAAGTATATGTGTCGCCTATGCTCTGTATAAAGCATGAGACTCTAAGAAGAAGAACGTTTGATCAGATGTGAGAGTATTTTATTATTATTTCTACTTTAGTTGTCAGGGTGCATCCACACTATCCTAGAAACGGCATAAACCTTGAATAGATTTCTAGTAATTCTATTGGCTGAAAAATTCATCTGTCAGAAATTTTATCTGTCAAATTCATCTGTCAAGAATTTCAGCCAATAGTATTACTGGAAATCTATTCAAGGTCGTTACGCCGATACGTCGTTTCTAGGATAGTGTGGATGCACCCTCAATCGTTTATATAGTCTATAAAATGAATAACTTTGAATTTTGACCGTTATTTTTTACCAACATGGCAAATATAAAATCCCTCTATCAAAAAAGTTACTGATATTCTTTAAACTGAGTACCTGAACGAATCAGATAGGTAACTCTTTTTACTTTCGTGATATAGAAAAGGAAAATGATAAAACAAGTGACAGTTCCTCCTCTTCTTGCAAAAATCAACACAAAATGTCATAATTGCCAAAAGTAAAATGTCATCAGCTTTTGACGTTTCTAAATATCAGACCAATGCCGTCTCTAATAGAACAGCCTCGGAGCGAGATTGATGACGTCACGCTAGTTAGATACTACGGATTAATAAATATGTTGTAGAATACATGGAAAACATCTATTCATGATACATTGTTATTGATACATGTTCATTCATAAACATTGTATTTTAAAAATGATATAGTTTACATGAAATATACATAATATACAGTTAATAAATACAATACATATACCTATTTATAGTAATAAATACTTTGGCAAATAAATTATGAACCACACAAATGCAGCAAATGTTTTACAATATACAAATAATGAATAGGTACATCAGATAATGGATAAAATGTAAAATATATTTTAAATTTTGGGGTTTGAAAATCGATCTAATTTAACAAAAAACATTCAATATCTACTAATAGTGATGTATTATTATTTGCATTCACAAATTATATTTGTAAATAATACAATATCATAGAAAAAAAAGGCGTCAGCGATGCCTATGAAATAAAGATCGCTGTCATTTTATATGTAAAATTATTCTAAAATTTTGATTTTCTTGGGATTTAGGTTCGGGAAAACGCTGATTAAGTTTTCATTTGGTTTTTCATTATTTTTATTTGGTTTAAAAAAACGTTTCGGGTAACATTATAGCCTTCGTCAGTGTTGTGTCATATGAAAAAAATAGTGTCGAATATAATCCAAAAAATTACATATAAAATATTCACACCACACACCACATAATGTTTACTGCAATTAATAAACTAATATAAACTTGTAAAAAGATGACCACGTATTTTTTAAAATTATTATTCTTAACACTAAAACTATCTACATTGACTATGTAGTGCTATTTCAGCCATAGTCAAGTGAGGCTGTTCTATTAGAGACGGCATTGCGTCAGCAGGGCCGCAAGTTGCTAACCTAATAAAATTAACACTAGAAAAGCCCGCGGGAACTGTCATTCAAAGTTATTCGCTTCACAGACTATAGCCTGATAAACATATATTTATCTAATTTTATTAATTTATATTCTTTATATTAAATATGATCGAAAAAACGGCATTTTGGCTTGGAAATAACGATCGCTCTCATTTTATAAGTAAAAATATACATCGAATGTCAACATGCGTCACGCCGTTTTTCATTATATGTTACTTCCCCAACAACAAATGAAAATCGATATTAATTTTGAAATGACAAATAATTAATTATATGGCATGAGAACATTTATGTTACTAATGAAATATTACAAAATTGTTATGCTTCAAAACTGCACTATTAATTGCTTGCAATTCCGTTTCACCTATACTATACGAACGAAAAAAAACGGCGTCAGAGTTGGCTTGGAACTTAAGTTTACTGTCATTTTATATGTAAAATTATATGAGGAAAGTTATCTATCGTGATTTTCGAGCCAACTTGACCTTGTTTTCTTCGATCATATACTACATCACATCATTCAAATTTTCGACTTTATTTAGAGTTTCATTTCACTGGTTCTTTTGTTAGGTGTATGGGATAGTTTCATTGTTAATAGTTAAAAGGTATATTCTTTGTAGAGTAGTAGTGATTATATTATTTACATTGATTTAATGTTGAAGGAGTTATGTAGAATACTTTTAATTATTATTAACCAAAACAAAATTTTGAAAAACTTTAGGAACACACAGTTTTTATTCAAAAAATAACTCTTTCAGCAGAGAAGTTTTTTATTTAGTAAATCATATTGATTTTCTATTTTTAGAACTGCCAATTTTGCCATAGTGGAGATAATGAAGATAAACTTCTCCTGTGCGACAGTTGTGACAGGGGATATCACACATATTGTTTTAAACCCAAAATGGAAAATATTCCTGAGGGAGATTGGTAAGTTTCATTAGTTGTAAAAAATGCCGGTAACCGATTTCAGATGACAGTTAAAATATGACACATAATTTAACTAGTTAAATTCACTTATATTTATTTGAATTTCGTAAGTCATTATCTACTTTACTTTTTTCTTTAGTCGTGGTTCTTTGTGCGGTTTTTTTAATTTTGGTGGATAATAATGTTAAAATAAATTTTGTTATCATCAATTTCTGACTACATTTTGACTTTCATTGTTAACAAATTCAAAGGCACGAACTAGAAATCCAAATTGACCAAAATTATTTATGTTTTACTACGATTAGCATGTCAAAATAAAATATTGTACCTACTTTTTGATTAATAATGTGGTTGTAAACAAAATAGTATAGAAACTTCAGAGAAACGTTTTCATTACTGTGTTTATATTTTTTTTATCTCTGGACAGTAATGAAAACTACTTGATATGTTAAATACCTTTATAATATTTTTTTTAATTTTTACCTTTTTGTATTATGGAACTTGTGATTTATTCGTTATCAGGTACTGCCACGAATGTATGAACAAAGCAACTGGCGACCGAAATTGCATAGTATGCGGTCGAAAAATGTCCACCACTGGTACCAGACTACTCGTCTGCGAGTTGTGCCCTAGGGCTTATCACACCGATTGTATCCAGCCACAGATACATAAAGTTCCGCGCGGTAAATGGTACTGCACAAACTGTTTTTCTAAGAAACCTCAGAAAAAGCCAGTGAAGAAAAATCACACTAAACCTACAAAAGAAAACGAATCGGCACCTGAACAGCCACCCGCTAGGTAAAGTTTGATATTCATTTGAGTTTTGTATGCTTGTGACAATTATTGTGAAAATAAACTTTTTTAAATATTTAATTTTTTTTTTCATTGTGTTTAGTGATCGTTTAACAATCTATAAATGTCATACTTACATCATTAATTACAACATAAGTTGTAATATATTAACCTAGTTGGAAGTAGGCTTGTATGTAGCTGGATAATTTTAGTTATTTTATAAAAAAAACTAAATATTGGTCGTTTTAAGTACTATTTACTGATGTATATGTGTATATAATAAATGTGTTAGGTATTATTGGAATTAGGCTACAAAATCAAATGCAAAGTTATTGTTTTATTGCATTACTATACCGGGTGCGTCTCAAAAGTGGCTCACCCCTATAATTTTTTTTCAGATAAAAAGAAACATATTTGGTATGTTAATATATGACATAAATTAGGATTGATTGACGTATCCAATTGTTTTCGGTCGCTTCTTGTTTCACCGGAAATAATTACAACTTTTGATTATTAAATGGCACCCGCGGTTTTTTTACTTTATTTGATAGAAAATTACACTCTGAATAGAATGACATACCGTATGTCAACCTCGTTCAATTCTTGCTTTAAAAAATCGTATTTTAAATTTCAATCTAGAGTGTGGCTGTGTGTAGTAACCATAACTGTGTTAAAAACCACTAATTTTTAATCAAGGAACCTTGGAAAAATAAACCATATGCGAAGATGCTAAAAGTTGACATATGATATGTCATTCTAGTCAGAATGTCATTTTCTATCGAATAAAATAAAAATATACCGAGGGTGTCATTTAAAAATCAGAAGTTGTAGTCATTTCCGGTGAAACAGGAAGTGACAGAAAAGAATTGAATACGTCAATCAATCCTAATTTATGTCATATACTATGGCATACCAAATCTTGTGTTTTTATCTGATAAAATAAAAGTTATAGGGGGAGTCAGTTTTGAGACGCACCCAGTATACTCTAAATACATTCTCTAAAATGGTCTTAATATATACTAATTAATACTAACTTTACAGTGACTGTGTTTGATAAATAACATAACTTTTGGTAATAACTAATTGATACCCAGCTATAACTTTAAGTTTAATCAATAAAATAAAGTTATAACATTGAATCTATTCTAAAATATCATCAGTGTAGCATGTTTTTGAAACTAATTGTATAATTTAATATCGGCTCTACTAATATTCAATACTATGTAACAGAACTTTTTTGTTATCAAAATCTAGAAAGCTAGTAAAGTTTGAAAAATGCAGTTAAAATAAAATCATGAAAGTCTAATAAAATAATTTTAAGATTCTTAAAAACTGATACAGGAACTGATAATGCAAATGTCTTTTAATGATAGTTCATTAAGTGGCTAATGATATCGAAACGCGATGCAGTGATATTGGTGTATAAAAAATGACTATCAAAGAATTATTTTAGGTATGTAGAAAACTATTATGTACCTTGTGTGTTTTGATAGATAAAATCCGGTATTTTGGCAAATTTTTACTATTATAAATAATAATCAATTTTCATGCAATTTTCTGTTATTCGTATTTTTTGGTTTTTTATCTCAATTTTATAAAAAAAATCAAAACGTAATGTTTCAAATTCAGAGTAATGGCGCCTCTGACGTCACTTATGAATAGTACCACACTTTCCATAAAAGTACAAACAAATTCTGACGGCGATGAGTGCCCTGCGAGATAGAGAATACCCTATTAAGATTTACATTTATGTTTTTAGCAATACAACATAATAAATTTGAATATTAAATAATGACTAATTTAGTAAAAGTAAAAAATACCAAATGAATTTAAAATACAAATTAAAGTAACGCAAAATTACATACGCTAGAATATTATTCTTTAGTGATGCCCTCTGTTACTTATCCTGTTGAATGCTCATAACTGTTTGTCAGAATATTTGGCCATATTGTTTGCTTCATTTTTAAGATATATTTTTATTATGGGAATTGTGAATTTTGCAATAAAAATCAATAAGCATAATAATTATGGTAAAACACCGGATTTTCGAGTATAATGCGCTAATGTAGATCAAAATTGACAAAAATACGATTTTACTATTGTACGAATTTTAATGAATTATTTAATGATCATCACTCTTTAAGATGCCAAAAATATATACCAGTTTTAATACAAATTAACAAGTGTTACTGCCCAAGCCCTATTTCAGTAGGATATAGTGTTTGTAAACTATTCGTTTTTAAGTTTTTTTAGCTTCTAGGACTTGATGACAAAAAGTTATTGGAGTACTTGTATAATTCCCCTTATTTTAGTCCGGCTCCGTCTCATAGTTCAGTAACGACTAACGATGACGTACCGACAACGAACTGTAGTCAGAACAGCGATGTTTCGAATTCGAGTTTAACCAGCGGTTTGATTAACGCTGGTTCTCCGTCCACCTGCGCCAAAAAAGAAAAAGAGAAGGCCAACAAGAAGTTGATGAAAGAACTGACACCGTGTAGACTTATTCTTGAAGATCTCGAATGCCACGATGACGCCTGGCCGTTCCTATTACCGGTTAACACCAAACAGTTTCCTACCTATAAGAAGATTATTAAGATTCCTATGGATTTATCCACGATTAAGAAACGACTGCAAGATTTGGTGTAAGTATACTTAAATTTCTATCATAGAACTTCAAGGCCCCAAGACATAGAGTATTAAAACGACAGAGTTGTAAAGGCATTTATAAATCCGCATTTGTCTACCGACCAACATATACAGTCGATAGACTGGATATAAAAAGGTTGTGAGGGAGAACGATAGTGGTAATGGAACATGTCCCGCTACATGTTTCTCTCGCTGTAATCGAAACAACAGTCGTAAAAAATATAACTTTATGATTATTGTTAGTTCCCAGTAGATAGTACGTAGAAAAAATAATCGTGTGTGTTTGGGAAGGCTCGAAAGGAAACAGTGTTTATGCGACGTTCCGCGAATTTACTGTCTCTTCTTCAGGCACCAAAACATATATTAATCCATATGCCTACAAACATTCATGGCGATTCCAACCGAAAACACTAAAACACATACTGACGAACGAACAGAAACTTAACGGGTATTTTTTTTGCCCGATGTACACCGATGCTCGGTCTGTGTCGTACTATTAATATGTCAATACGACATTGTATAATGTTTGTTTTTTTTTACATTAAATAATACGTTTAATGCATATTTTTATATAATTAATTGTAATAATAGTAATAATACTGTCTCAAATAGTTTCTGAAAAATAAAATTATTTTTTTAAAAGGTCCGATTAAATTTATATCTCCGAAACTAAACTTTAAAAAAAAGTCATACTATATCTACAAATTCATTTACCCGCACTAGTAGATATAAAAAAACATTTTTGGTAAACTCTGTCTCAAATAGTTTCTGAAAAATAAAATTAATTTTTTTAAAAGGTCCGATTAAATTTATATCTCCGAAACAAATTTTTATCGAAATATTAAGTTTTACCGTTCCCCAACAAATTATTGTTATCTCTTTAGCATATTAACGCAAGAATATACTTGTTACATATTTTTTGTACCGTTTTTTTGCTCTCCTGTAAAATTAGGAATAATGGAGTTAGCTGATGACAAATTTTTAACGAAATATTAAGTTTTACTGTTCCCCAACAAATTATTGTTATCTCTTTAGCATATTAACGCAAGAATATACTTGTTACATATTTTTTGTACCTTTTTTTTGCTCTCCTGTAAAATTAGGAATAATTAACACATTTCATCGACGATATACAATATGCCGTCGTACGGTGTCACACTGCGCGTTTTGGCGGTTGTAGTACAAGCCGCTACCATAAGAATACCGGGTGCGTCTCACCCGGTATTCTTTGGTACCGGGTGCGTCTCACCCGGTATCTAGTGGCTCACCCCCGATAACTTTTTTATTTTTTCAGATAAAAAAAACAGATTTGGTATGTTAGTATATGACATAAATTAGGATTTATTAACGTATTCAATTGTTTTCGGTCGCTTTCTGTTTCACCGGAAATGACTACAACTTTTGATTTTTAAATGGCACCCTCCGTATTTTGTTACTTCATTCGATAGAAAATGACACTCTGAATAGAATACATGTCATATGTCAACTTTTGACATTTTCGTTTAAAACAAAATTATATTTTAAATTTCAATCTAGGGTACCATTCCTGTGTTAGAAACACTAATTTTTAATCAAGGTGCCGTGGAAAAATAGATTTGATGACCAAATTTTGATCATCTAATGATTTTAGTGTCTTGTCCTGGCCGGTTAAATGATGCCTAAATCATATTTTTAATCATATCTCATTTTTTTCAAATGGAACGAGGGTGGCTCATTAGTATATTTGAAAAAAACATTTTTTTGCGAATAATTTGGTACCACACACTTGGTATTTCGAGTCAAATGGTCGTTATGAACCACATGTTACAATTTCAAATAAACCATATTCGAAAATGTCAAAAGTTGACATATGATATGTTATTCTATTCAGAGTGTCATTTTCTATCAAGTACAGTAAAAAATACCGAGGGTACCGTTTAAAAATCAAAAGTTGTAGTCATTTCCGGTGAAACAGGAAGTGACCGAAAACAATTGAATACGTCAATCAATCCTAATTTATTTCGAGACGCACCCGGTATACCTGTTAGCGCTACGTACCGGTGCTGCAGCGAAATCGGCTTGCCGCATAAAATTGTGGGAGCGCTGGTGCTGCGGCAAAAACGCATATCGTTACTTCTCTCATATAAAGCCGTGTGTTGTCGCCATCTCTGCGTTTCTGCTGCACCCGAAGAAGCGCGCAGTGTGCCACCGGGCTAACGCCAGCGGTGTTTACAAAAAATAACTATTTTATTCTGTACATTTTCTTATAGTTGCGAAATACCCAGACGTCTTTTTTGAAGAAATTAATCCTCCACAATGGTATAGACATCATTTAGTATTAATACTGTTTTCATTATGCCCGTATTTTTTTCCGCTCGCTCTAGTTTTTTTTTTGAGAGGGGTAAAAAATCTTCTAAAGACCTTACCGACCTGGTGTTCTGGTGGTCGGCGTGTGTCGGATTCGAATTTCCTGGAGTTCGCCTACCGACTAAAAACTCCCCCTCCTCCGTTTCCTACACCTCTTATTACGGAACTGCTCTCGCATTACTTCATAATAAGGGTTGTCTAGTAATCACTCGTCCCTAGTCTTCTCTTCCAAGATATTTTTAACCACACCATATGCTCGGCTCCAGCCCTCAGGTGACTCCATTAACTCATCCACCGCTCGCCCTAGTACTTTTCTATTAATGCAGCTGGCTACGTTGGGAATACCACTTGTCCATTTTGTTTAGTTCATAGTGTTAAAAGCGTAATACCAATCCATATCACCTACAGCAATTTGAAGATCACAAAACTTAGATTCCCACCTCCCACCTTCAGTAATTGTGCTTTGTCGGTTTTCTATGGTTGTTTAATATGTTTTTCTAAGTCATAATATATTATGGTTTCTTCCATCAATTTTTAATTTTCATCTGTTGAATGCGTCCCGTCTCACTGGCCACTTTTCAGATTCAGCGGAATGATACTTCAGAGTAAATGATATAGAACAATAGAATAGATCGAAAAAAAACTTATTTAATGGCATATTTTAACTTATTTAATGGCATATAAACTACTTTTATGTGAAATTAAAATATAAATTTGAACGAGTCAGACAAAAGTTTCAACAGACAACATCCAAAAATTGACAAAAATTCAATTTACCGATGAATTAAAATGACAGAAACAACAAACAACTATTGGTGGATTCATACAGCTAAATAAAATAACAAATAAAATAAGAATTGGTTATCTTTTAACTTCTTTATTTTATTTATGTGAGAACGACTTTGCGCACGCTGAATTCTAACCTACAAATTTTTCAGTTTGGATTTAATTTATTTTATAATTTTACATGAGTATAAATTTACAATACAGGGTGGGCGCACCTCATTCGCCTCGATTGATTATACGAAAACTGAAAGATATAGAAACGACATTTTTTATGGGTGTATGTAGAGAGGCAATGTGCATAATTTAAAATTATTTTCAAATGTACACGGTGTGTCAGAACTAAGATCCATACCAAAGTTATATTTTTTCTTATGGAACACTCGATATTTTATTTCATTTTTGGATTATTGGGCATAAAATAAGGCATTTATTACAAGGGTTTAATATGTTTAAATCCTTTGTGTAAAATGTTTAAAACCTCCGCTTTTTGAGCTATTTAGAGATATTTAAATATGCATGCTGTAATAAAAAATATTGTCAACACCCTGTACATTGTTTTTCAGAATTAATTCTTGTGCTGACTTTGAAGCCAGAGAAATAACTTTACTAAAAAATTTTATTGCTTCCTAAATGGTATACAGGGGTATCAAAAATTGCTAGTCTATTAAAAATTTATTTTACATAAAAAACTTCGTTATTTCAAATGCAACACTATGTATTTTTTAAAATCGATCAAAAAAGTCGGAGCAGATTTAAATGTTCTTTCAAACTGTATTAGGGTTTCCTATACCTATCTGGCTCAGATTTTCAATAAAAAGCGATTTTTCAATAAAATGGCAATAAAGATCAAGATGGCTGGTGTCGCCATGGCAATTTGCTAATGACAGTAGCTGTTTTCAAAATCGACATTAGTTTATGTACTTTATTTAAATAAGTATTTATTATTTTATCAAGAAAAATAAAGAAGTAGTTCTTTTTGATTTATATTACGAAGACTTAGATATATTGGATTTTCTATAAAAGAACCAATTAAGGCAAATTCATTTTCTTAACTTCCAACGACATGTTTCTGCCTAATATGTTTTTCATATACCTACCTCCATCAGCTCTGCGAAATACGAAAAGTAGTTTTTCAAAGGAACGCTTATCAAGAAAATTCCTATTTGGATATCTGAGCATAAACCCTTCAAGCCAACAAGCAATTCTCCTCACAAAATAAAATGGCTAGTAACATATCCATTCCTTCCGCCAGCAGATACTAATTCATTTTTCTTAAAAAAGTAGAAAAAAGACTCAAAGTCTCGGTCTCAACGTTTATGTAATGTTAAACTGTTACACGTGTTTCGCTCATATACGAGCATCATCAGACCTAACAAGAAAGAACCTAAATAAATAACAAATAATGAAAAGGTCGTCATAACTTACAAATACAATCAAAATTAATTCAAATACACGTCCACATGTTACATATTAAAACAACACTGAGACGAGGCTGAAATGACCGGCAAATATTTGTCAATAAAAAAACAGGAACAAAAAATCAAATAAAATCAAACCCAGCGGGATTTGAACTCTAGGCTCCCGTGTGGGAACCAGAGAGCAAAACCACTAAGCTACCATACTACTGAAGTAAAGATTCAGAACTCAACAATAATACACGGCCGAATTAATCTTTCAGATTATTGAAAATTAATGTTGGTTCGAAATTAAAAACGTCATTCACGCACACAAGAACCGGACTTTTTAGCTCTAATTATTTCCATTTTCTCCAATAAATCAAGTTTTTTTACTTTTTTGACACTCGTGCAGAACACTAACGTTTTCAGAGAGGAAAAAATCGTGACCTGTGGCTAATAAGTGGTTCGCAAAAGCCGATTAATTCTCAGTTATATCCGAATTTCTGTATTTATTGACAAGGCTCAGATGTTCCTGTGCTCGGGTGGAAATGTTTCTTCATGATTGCCCCACATAGACCGCTTGACAGTCGCCACAATTCAAAGAATAAACTCCCGATATAGAGAGCCTCTCCGTTTTGTCTTTATTTCTAACCAAATTTGCTTTTAATGTATTAATAGTTTTAAAGGATATAGATAAATTAAGATTTTTAAAATATTTTGCCAATTGGAGGGAAATATTACCAAAAAATGTACGGGTCTCTCTGTAAATTTTTCGAATATATGACATTATAAGACATCTTATACCTATTTACAAACTTATAGTAAATCTTTTATTATTTGTTATTTATTTAGGTTCTTTCTTGTTAGGTCTGATGATGCTCGTATATGAGCGAAACACGTGTAACAGTTTAACATTATATAAATGTTGAAAACGAGACTGAGTCTTTTTTCTACTTTTTTAATTTGAACCAGGTCTCTTTGAGAAGAATGGACGCCTTCTTTAAATTTCATTTTTCTTGTTAACATAATAAATACTTACTTATTAACTTTATTGTAGGTGAATTAAATAAAAATAATCTGTTATAAATTTAAAGTCCATAAACTAATGTCGATTTTGAAAATAGCTATAGTCTGTCCAACGAGAAGATCCTTGACAGCGATAGATGAGTCTGTCATTTAAATTTCAAAGTAGTTTATTTTATTTTACAAAGAAATAAGTTGGTACAACTGGAACGCATAGCAGGAAATTAATATATGTATTTAAAATTTGACTGACAAGTAACTTCAAAAAATGTGAAAAAAACTGTATAAAATTGAAAAAGTGTAATCGAGTTATTTTATTTAATAAAAAACGGTATGTATATATAAAATATATACATTATATAATAATATATAATGTATATAAAAAACAAACAAAAACAAGACACCACATACCAAAAAATATAAAAAAGAACTATTTCTTACTGTCAAGCTTTATGAAACTTCCCGCATTTATGATTATATTTATCAATATAACTTATGTACAAATACAAATTTGTAATATTCCGCAGGAATAAATAAAACATAAATAAAACAAACTATTTTATTAATAATAACACTTACCAAATTTTATACCTCACAGGTTGATTAATTAACTTTAATCTTAATTTTTTTAAACCAGTACCTTTTGACATTATTTTTCTGCAGTACTAAAATCCATTATTTACCGATCATGTGATGTCGATATTTTACAGCTACTCCAGGTTTTAGTATGTGTTTAGTATGGTCCTTCTACCATATTCGAGATGCACTTATCTACGACGAGATGGTATACGAACTTTATTGATAGTAACTTTATTGGTGTATCTGTATAAGACTTTCTGCCTGGGCAGCGAGTATTAACCATAAACTGTGTTCTGGGTTCTACAGTTAATTTTCACTCGATTTTTCCTCTACTTGACTTCAAAAAACAAAACACACGTAATAACACGAATCAAAATGCATCATCTTCCAAAACGCAGGTTATTTGACAAAAGTTAACACAAAATTATAACCTATAATTTGGCAAGACTTTGACAAACGTCAAAAATCTAAAGGCGAGTTCATACGCACCGGCGTCCGTTTGTCGTTCATCGTTCCGTCAAACTTACGTCAAACCAATAAAATTAAAATACGATCTGTCATTTTTGAAATAAACCAATAAAACTGGTTAAAAACAACAAGTGACGACGCATGACGAATTTATATTTAAACCCATCCATAGTTAACTTAAAAATTATTAGTAACTTTTTTTAGTAAAATAAATAGATTGGTATGGGACGTCATCTGCTTTTCTTCTGTCATCGTCTGTCGAAATCTTACCTCAGAAAAAAAACAGAGTATACTAAGTGTCACTAGAAAATTGCCATGGCGACACCAGCCATCTTGATTATAATTTCATTGAAAAATCGCTTTTATTCAAAATCTGAGCCAGACAGGTATAGGAAACCCTAATATAGTTTGAAAGAGCATTGAAATCTGCTTCAACTTATTTAAAAAAATACATAGTGTTGCATTTGAAATAACCAAGTGTTTATGTAAAATAAATATTTAAAATAGACCAGCAGTTTTTGATACCCGTGTATACATTTAAGGAAACAATCAAATTTTTTAATAAAGTTTATTTCTCTGGCTTGAAACTCAAATCAAACGCAAGAATTAATTCTGAAAAGTAATGTACAAGGTGTTGATAAACTTTTTTATTATAGCATGCATATTTCTTCTTACAGTGCCATACTCTATATAAAGCGACGGCTACCTCTCGCATGTACTTGTGATGTATGTCATCAGTGTTTCAAAAGTACATGGGACCTACAGTTTATTGCCGAATCCGAACGGCACTATTTGAGAGGCTCTACAAGGCAAATATACTCAAGGTGGTTTGCCATTGCATTCCTTGAGGTGGCGGCTCGTTGGTCGCTCTATTTAGATAAATAAATATTTTTATTTAAATAAATAAACTGCCCGACCGTACTGACTGGGGATCGAACCCAGTACCTTTCGCTCCGCAGATCGAAACACTAACGCTGGAGCTACGGCCGGCCACAAATTTTTTAATATCTTTAAATATCTCAAAAACCAAAAAGCTTTTAAACATATTAAACCCTTATAATAAATGCCTTATTTTATGTGTAAGAATCCAAAAATGAAATAAAATACTGGGTGTCTCATAAGAAAAAACATAAGTTTGGTATGGATCTTAGTTCTGACACACCCTGTATATTTCAAAATAATTTTAAATTATGCACATTAGCACATTGCCTTCCCACATATACCCATAAAATATTTTGTTTCTACATCTTTCTATTTTCGTATAATCAACCGAGGCGAATGAGGTGCGCCACCCTGTACAGTATGCATCGAATAATTAAATATACTATAAATAGTAAAATTATTATAAACAATCATTAAAGTTAACTTTTATCCAGCGCCATCCTACTGCGCATGAGCATAAAAAATAGATATTTCTTATTAATATTATATTTCTTATTTTATTTTATTTGCTGTATGAACTCATCATATCACTGTCATGTACCGAAATGATGATCGAAAAAAAAACGGCATATAGTTGGGTTGGAAATAAACATCGATGACATTCCCCATATAATTTTACATATAAAATGACAGTGATCTTCATTTCATAGCCATCGCTGACGCCGCTTTTTTTTTCGATCATATGTTATATTCCCTTGTTGGACAGACTTCACCACCACCCTCATTCAAAATACATTTATGGATTAATATTAACAATCCCTTATATTAAAATAAATTTAATATATTTTTTAAACTTTTAGGTATAAATCAAGAGAAGAATTTTGTTCAGACGTCAGACAGATCTTTAACAACTGTGAAACTTTTAATGAAGATGATAGTCCTGTCGGTAAAGCTGGTCACTGCATGCGACAGTTTTTCGAATCTAGATGGAATGAACTTTGTGCCTCCCATAGTTGAGGATTGTTGAATTTTTAAGACTTCTAATGTTTAGATGAGCAGGCCCAAATGAATATATAAGATGTATATTGTTGTGGTGCTTGGTTAGATAATGAATATTAATCGAAAATAATTATTAGATTTGAGAAGCTAATAGTTTTAACTTGTGGGGAGCAATCATGTCGGGACTCAACGAGAGATATATACACAATAATTTTGTCATTAAGTATTAATTATAGACATCCTGGCATGTTTGCTTTAGACACATATTTTAAATAAATGGATACAGGTATTTTGATTGTGTGATACATTCATCATAATGTATTATTTTGAATATTCCATATTTTTGTGGATGTATTTTTTAGAACATTATTATAATTAATCAGTTTATAGACTTAATAATTATTAGTTTGTGATTTTTTACTTAAATTGATTTTGTATTTTTGATATGTTTATGTATTTTTTTAACGTTTTAATTTAAAATATTTATTTAGGATTAGGTTTGCTTGTGTTAGTTCAGTTGTGACTTTATGATAAAAGAACAAAATAGTTTGCCAGACTGTCGTGATCCAGGTTGGCTTTTATTTTAATGTGTATGTTAGTCTGATATTTGTATTATAAAACTGTAAAAATCCCTGGAAGCAAGGAGCTCAACTTTAAAATTATGTATGCTGTCACATGGTCGTTTATATAAGCCGAGTAATTATGCAAAATCTATTTAAATCTTAAATGTGTTTGGTAGACTAGTTCTGAGCAAAGTAAATTTTGCCACCTTTAGAACTAGGGATTATGTACTTGAGTGTAAGATATTTATATTAATTATATTTACTTATAAATGTAAAAATTGGTATTTTCTTTCTTTTTTATTCCCAATTTATTTGAATAATGTCAAAATAATAGACCGGTGGGGTGGATAGGGTCTTTCAATAAAAAAAAAAAGAAAGGAGTCGATAACCTCTCCAAGAGGATCCACAATAGTTAACAGTGGCACAGTTGTGTCTGTTATTTTAAATAACCTTTCCAAGAGGATTCATAACAGTTAACAGTGGCACAGTTGTGTCTGTTATTTTAATTCACAAACAAATTGTATTTTCTGGGGATTGCTATATTTTCTTTACATTGGATCAAGATAGAAGGAACCACACGCCAAACAGTTAAAAACTACCATACTTCCTTAATTTCTATTCAAAAGGTAGGGCAGAAATGTTGACAAAGAAAAGACATTTTGATTACATTATATTTCTAATTAAATTTAATGAAACTTTTAAATGGTACAGATAATAACCAGTTATTAACCAGGTGGCCATCGCATTTGTCGTCCAGATAAAACATGTACATGAGTATGGTAAACTGATTGTGCTCCAATAGGTCCATCATTAATTACAATTCGAAATCCATCATCCAAACCCCGTTGAGCTGCGATATTTTTAGCTACAATTAGTAAATGTCCCAACAATGAGGCATCACCGTCTTCTGCTTTTGAAAGCTGCGGAATGGGCTTTCTTGGAATAACAAGAAAATGTACGGGAGCTTGGGGATTAATATCATCAAATGCTACACACTGAAAACCAGAACTCAAAATCGAAAAAACATAAACACATCTATAGTGTACTTACTTGATTGTCTTCATATATAAACTTACAGGAGATTTCATTACGCAGCATTTTTCCAAAAATAGTGTCGCCACCGGCTTGTGCATTTTGGGCACGAATTACTTCATCCGACATTTTTTTTTAATTTCAAGAAGCACGTTCTAGTTTCTAGTTAAATAATTAATACCTATCTGTCCTATCTGTCTCTCTATGAACTTTGTAACCCAAAGACACAGCCCAAAGACAACTGTTTTATTTTTATTTGATAGTGAATCCTAAATATATCTATGTCTCTGAGACTGGATCCAAAAATGCGACTGGGAAATGGAAAATGATTGTCATTGTAGAGCGCATTCAGTAAACACACCGGTTGCTCCACCGGTGCAGAAAATTAAAGTGAATGCCAATGGTAACTCACCGGTTGTGGTCACCGATCACTTGAGAGCTTACCGTATTTTGTTTCCGGATTTACCCCGGACAGCCCCGGATTATAATACCAATGTGTTTACTGAATGCGCCCAATAAGACAATCGACAATCGATGACCATACCACAGACCATACGATGACCAATGGTAATTTTGGCGAGGTCAAGCCCTAGACGTCAGTCATTTCTTCTTTCTTTCTTGATTGGTTGGCCTATGAGAGGCGGGATATCTCAAACACATCACCTAATTGACCATGATATGACCGAGGACCGCGGTTCGGATTCCGTGTAAACAAAGTAGGCTTCGTCTAGACCTTGTTTATATAAAGGGCACAGAATAGATATCAACCAGAAACCTAACTGGAGCTGAAATCCGTGACGTTTCACGAATTGGGCCGCCATTTAATAGCGGTAGAACACAGAGACGTATTTAATAAATTTCCGTTGAATGTATACAGAGTTGTATTTATTTTTTTGTTGTAAATTGAAAAGTATAGAATTAATTAATATCATTCGGCAGTTAATAAAACTACTGCTTAAAACTTTAATAGGTGAGTTTGTTAAAGTTAAAAGTAAAGGCTAATTTGTTTAAGATGCTGTAATATTGGTTTAGTACAAATGTCCCAACATATTTTATGGAGTAATATTTTTAATGTAAAACTTATTGCCAGCGATAAAAAACACTGCATTAGTAAACCATTAGAGATATCGCGGTATAAAAATAGTTTATATTTTTAAACGATTTTATTTAACTTTACCATACCTTTGTTTGTTGCAAATCTGGCAGCAGCTTTATTGATCACTTCTATTATCCCAATTTTTCCGAAATGTTGCACACGTATTGAGTTCCGGTGACACTTTTATAATATTTTTGAAGAAAAAAAATCAAATTAGCGGATCCAATATGGCGGATTTTTTAATATAAGAAGAGATTTGGTTGAAATTTAAAACTTTGGGTTCTTTATAAGGACGCTTGAGATACTTACCTTCAATTGGCCCGTTTTAAAACATCCTGTAAAGATAGGGTAGGTGTTCATTTAAGTTTCAAACGAAATAAATAAACAAGCTAACATCAGAATACTTAGGTATTTATTCATGCCTCCATATAATTAGTTTGTTTTTATTGGCTGTTTTAAAATTAAGGTTTATCTTTTTTAATGTATAATACAATTACATAAGCAGATATAATTTAGTTACATATTTTAGGGGAAAAATAGTAGATGGATGTTTGAAATTAATTTGTTTGCATATTATATATATTTCTTTAATAAAATGTCTTGTCCCATATTCTTCGTAATATTTACTAAAAACAAGTTCTAATAAAGAAACAAAAGATACAAAATTGTCATGTGACATCTGAAGATTGCCAAAAATATCTAAATTATTATTTTCACTCTTTATTATTTTCATAGGCACGTAAATGGCAAAACAACGATGTATCATCTAACTCACTGTGTGCCTTTGCATATTTGGTACATATATCACATGAATGTATACTCAAACATTTTTTTATTAAATATCCACAAACGTATCGTAAAACTTTTTGCATCTTGGCGAAACATAACTCCGGCTTTTGCACATTCTTGAGGCACAAACTGAACCAGTACTCTTTGAAGTTATTATAAATAATGTACCTAGCACAACAAATATTTAATTCCGTTCAGTTATAAAACAACACAAACTACAATATTCAATATTTATGAATGACGAACAGCTACTGCTCTCAGCAAAACGCAAAACACAGGGCCCAGTCACTCTTATGGAGCATTAAATTACAAATTGACGATTCGGCCCACTACAGATGGTGCTAATTTACGTCGTGTATATATGGTTGCAGAACAGTTCTTCGTGTATGTATGGTTGCTTCAAACTATGGAGTCTAAAAGCCCTAGGAGCCCTCCATACATGCTCCATACTTCAAACGTTACGATTGGCTCGGTCTTTAAATTCATTTTATGAATTTTGCGATTGATTTCCCTCTTCCGTCCACACAGTACTTCAAATACTCCTTTATTTATGCTTCATACTATATTTAAGCTGCCTTTATTTTGTTTTTAATACAAAATGTATTTCTCGTGCTTTTTATTGTATTCCGACTCCAACTTTTTCATATTATATTATTCAAAGGTAGCCATATTTCTTAGTGCTTCTTGAATTATACAACAGTGATGAACTGCAACGAGATGAATTTTCAAAGTATAAGCAGCCTCTAGGATAAATTTTACATATCTGTTGTAGCAGGCTGAATTCATAATTTATTACCATAAAGATATAATTCTCGTCAAGATATCTGGTGGTGTAGGGGATAAGGCTCTCGTCTAGCAACACGAAGGTAGCCGGTTCGAATCGTGCCGCCGACACGACTTTTTTATTTAATAAATAATTATTTTGACCTTGAAGCCCTGAGCCGCACTCGGCCCGCTATAGATGGCAGCAAAAATTTTGTTCGCTTTTTTATTACATTGACTGATCGTTCTGTAGTTATTCTGTGGCAAAACATAAGTGAACTGCGAACGCCAGTGCGTTGACAGGTTCTACCGCTATTTTTAGGTTAGGCGATGTTTCCCGCGCAAACTCTAAGTTAGGCTTCTGGTTGATATCTATTCTTGTGTAAAGGGTCTAGATTAGCACTGGTAACTGGTAACAAAAAGGAGACGTTACTTTCTTTTATCCAACTTTTACCGCTTTTACCCTTCTTTAACATTCTAAAAATATTTGGCGCTTCTTTGGAATGTATAACCAGAGGTATAAACCTTAAAACTTTATATTATATTTACAAATATGTATTTCAAATTATAAATAAGGACTTTATTAATACCAGAGATTAATACTAAATTAATATAAAAAAATGATATAGCGTAGGTGTTACCTTCTTAAAAATAAATCACATTTTTAAATACATAATACAGCTTAAGTTTAGAGAACAAGTAAGTTTAGGAAACATAAGACAAAACCAAAAATCAATTAGTTCCTGTAGAACCAAATCCTCCTTCACCTCGAGTAGTATCAGACAACTCCTAGAAAATTACAAGACAAAATATAGTAAATAACTTCTAGATTATTGTTTTTTAACAGATAGTTTTACCTCTACTTCAATCAGGTCAGGATAATAGATTTTCTCACAGATCAATTGAGCTATACGATCGCCCCTTTTTACTTCAAAATCTGCATCTGAATGATTAAATAAAACTACCTTGAGAACACCTCTGTAATCCTCATCTACTACTCCAGCTAGAATAAAGGAATGGGTAAAAGTATAATTCCCGAAATATAAATAAGAAATAAAAGACTGTTACAATATAAGTTGCAATTTTAACTGTAGTCAATAAAATAGGTATTTATTACCGCCAACATCAATGAAATTCTTAACTGCAAGGCCTGAACGTGGGGCAATTCTTCCGTAACAGCCATGGGGTAGCTCAATTTTAATTCCAGTGTCGACTAGGGCTTTTCCTCTTGATGGAACAGTTACATCTTCAGCACTTTTGAGATCGTAGCCTGCGGCTTTTACTGACCCTTTTGTAGGTGGAAAAGCGTCAGGATTTACTTTAGTAAACTTCAATAAAAGACTTGAACTATCTGCAGCCGGCATTTTAGAAAAATAGCGAGTATTCGGATAGTCTGTCTTGCTAGAATATCTAGATAAAAATGCCACGAAAGTCACTAAAGTTGAAGCAGTTGAAATGGAATTGGCGGGAAGTGTCGACGAATGAACCCAACGGTGGGGACAAAAACGAGGGAATTTCGTCAAAAGGACCATAATTATGAGTTTCTGATTCTGAGCATGTTCATTCTATCTATAAAGTAGCGCGAAAAGGGGTTTAAATTGAGGTTATATTGTTATATATCTTACCTTTTTGACAGAAATGTAAATAAAATTTGAATTTTGTGACACATAAACAACGGACAAACTTAGAATGCGGGAAATTTAAATGAGTTTACATTATTAAAATATGAACACAAAAGTTTAGTGTAATAAAACGAATTGAAATAAAATAAAGGTTACATAGTATTTATTCAAAAATAAAATACACAGTTTGGTAGTTGCTTTTTAAACACTACATTTCTATAAAATGAAATTTATGATAACAATAAATGTTCCAACCAATTACGATTATATTAATTAGTCCTTAACTATTTTCTATTTTTTGAAAAAATACAATTTACGTTATTCCATCTACGTTATATGACAATTTAGAACAGATAAATAAATATCACATTAAAGAAAGTTAATAATTGAGTGGAATTTTTATTGAAAAGCTACTATATACGACGACAAAAATTCTTTAGCTCAAATACTGAAGTAATATTACTTATACCATGCAACTAAACTACTCATTGAAATAAACAGTATTATTAGATGCTAATAGTACCAAATTTACATGAAAAATTAACACATTTTTAAAAACTACAGTTCAATCAGTTTTGAAGTGTAATAAAATATAAAATAATTAATATCTTAGGTCTTTTCACAAGTACAGGTATACAATACAGTGGGTAGATCTCTAAAATGTTAGATAATAACATTGAACAACAATCGCAAATAAGCGGTAAATAATCAACAACAAATCTGTTGCTACCACAAGAATTAGTGTCTACAATAAAATGAAATCTCAAATCAACAATTATTATTAAATTATATATATATCAACCACACACAATTAAATACTTTTTAGCACCACTTTTTTAAACCATTGCATTGCCACAATTATCTCACCAAAATTCTCTTAAATAATTTTCGTTTAATTTCGATTAAATCATTCAACTTGCAGTAGCAACAATTTTATAAAATATAGAAAACATATAAAATTATATATGTAGGTATCTGCAAAGATTAAAAACAGATTGTCTATTATAAAGTTCATAAAAATGTAACTGAGGGTAAAAAATATTTAATAAAAAATACCACTTCGCAAAAAATAAACATTTAATATGATTTGTATATGAAAGATCGATATTTTTTAAATAAGTGCAAATATAATGACAACGTCCTATGAGTTAAGCTTGATTTTGTCCGTTATCCGACGTCGGACAACGGATGCATGAAAATCAAACTTTATACTTTTTCTACATCGACGTTGTCTGTTAAGAGTCCCTAAAACATTGTCTAAATCGTCCCTTTCGGCGAGAAAAGCCATATTTAGACAAACGAGGTCCGAAAAATTATAGCAAAAACAATCTACAGTATGATAAAAAAAACGGCGTTCAGTTGGCTTGGAAATTACGATCGATGACAGTCCCTATATAATGCTATCCATATATTCATGCTTTTGAATAAAAACATTAAGGAAGGAGCATGTCAAAAAACTTAGACGAAGCCCAATGAAGACCTAGTACGGCCGACTTAAATGCCAGTTTATCAGTGTAGTTCTAATTTTATTTAAAACATATAAAAATCTAATTTATATGTATATCTTTCTGTCGTCGGAAGCAAAAAAACAACATAAATTGTGTTTTTTTGACGACGGAAATATATATACTTTCCGAAACGTTAAGCATTTTTTTGTCCGTTAGACAAATTTGTTTATTAGTGACCACTGCTGACAAATACTCTCCGTTGGATTAACGCAGCAGTGTTTACAAAAAATAACTATTTTATTTTGTAGATGTTCTCGCAGTAGGGGAAATACCCATAGGGCTTTTTTGGAGACATGAATATGCCACATAGGTATAGATATCTTTTAATATTGGCTTTGACATCAAATAATTGCACCTATTTGAAAAATAACATAAAGATGTCAATCAATTAATCCTGATTAGTTCTCATTTTTCTACTCTAAATATAACAAAATAATATATATTTTTTGTAGTAACATGATTTATGACAAAAATTTACAAGTCTTAAAACCTAAAATTTGTAAACCAAAGTAGTAAAAATAATGTACATGCACAGAAAGTTACATTAATATAAATAGAAATAAATGTATAGGGTATATAAATCACTATTAGCTTTTTTTTAATCCTGTCCTATATATAGGGTGATTCACGGCAATCGATGGCACGTTAGACGTTTTTGGTTGGAGAACCGGAGTCAGTTGATTTAGACATATTGAATATGTCGACTTTCCTTAACCTATAAACCAAATTTCAGCTTTCAATATGCCGAAGTTATGATCTACAACAAGCTTATTCTAGATCATGTTCTTTGTCAATTTTAAATGTTTTTTTTTGGCCGAGACGAGGCGAGTGTGTACTTGGGGCTCTCGCGTCCTCTCGGGCCCTCTCGCCTCGCACTCTGAACGTTTTTTACCAAGTACACGCTCGCCGAGGGGACCCGAGGTGAGACAAGGCGAGTGTGTACTTGAGGCTCTCGTCTTGCCTCGGAACCTCTCGCCTCGTCTTGGGAGTGCTCGGTCTAGAGGCGGTCTCCAGCACGAGTCAAAGGAGACGAGAGCTATAGAGAAACCAAATAAAAGAGAGACACAATAGATTCTATATTTATCTATGGCGAAAGCGTTAAGTAGGAGGTCCCGCGAAAATATACACCGTGCTCTCGGGAGATCGGCCTTCCTTAGCTCGTCTTCTCAACTGCCTTTCAGTTGACGCCTATTTTCGGTATTTAAATTATTAAAATATAAATATATAATTAATACAGTGAATAAAGGATTCAGGTCAAAGTACCGAAAAATCTTTTAAGGGAACTGTAGGAAAAAAACAGATTCTTTAATGGTCACTTTCCGGGCCGTTTAAGAAAGAAAAACACGTTTATTAAAAGCTATGCACAAGGTTTTCATTCAGTTTGATGGAAAGTCTTCAAATTAAAATATATGACTGCCAACCTAATATAAACGTTCATTAGTTTCTATAAGTATCTACGTTTATTTTAATAATTGAGAAGCGATCAAACAAAACGAATCCATTTTGAGATATTAATTTATAATGTACAGAAGAAAGAAGAATTTTATAATGTACATCAAAGATACAAGGAGACGAGAGCCACAGGAAGGATACAGACTTTCTAGACACTGTTTACGCTTTTTTGTCATCATTAACATAAGAATTATTACTCTAATTACAAAATTATTGATTAATCTCTTTTATCCTCAGTTAAAAATAAAGATTTATTTTTTAAAATGTAAAATAATTTGTTTTAATATTATTAGGTAAAATAATTAGGTAAAAAATAGCAGATATTTTAAATTTTAATACACCTCACCTTGGCAACATAAAGTCGAAAATACAGTTTGTTTCGATCCTTGGCAGTTACGTCATCATTTTCGACGTTATATTGGTTTTCATGACAAACACGGACAATAGAATGATAATCTGTGACGTAACAGCCAAGGATCAAAAAACAAAGCGTAGATGAGTATGCTTCTACAAAATACCAAAAATACAATGAAAACAAAAATAATCACAGGCGGATTTATCTTTTTCTGTTTGAAACTAATACATGCAATTTGATTTTGTGGATTTCGCTGTTTTTCTTTATTTTCTTGGCTTTCAGATCGGTTTTATATTGGATTTCAGAAAAATGTTTGCCCAAATTTTCCCGAAAGTGTTATTAAATTTATCTTGTTGAGCGCCTGATTGCTTTTTTTTTACAAAATTATTCTTCAGAATATATATATTTATTTACGTACTGCAAAATTTTATTGGTGTTTTTGTGGAATGCCTCGGGGCGCCTCGCTGGACCTCTTATTTTTTGTGGCGCCTCGGGTCCCCTCGGCGAGTGTGTACTTCCAGCATAAAAGAATAATAGAAAAATTATGAGATATGATAGTAGTTTCGAAAACGTAAGAATATACCGGGTGTTCTATTTAAAATAACAAAGATACTACCACATTTAGGATCAAGCGGCAACACTGTAAGTAATGCTGAAAATTGCCTTTTAGACAAGGAGAGAGAGACTTTTTTTTAGATTTTAACCATTCTCCATAAACGTCTAACATACCATATGCATGGCCGTGAATCACCCTGTATTTAATCTCTAGAAATTGAGTTTAACAAAAAGTTAAATATTTAATTCTAAAATCAGCAATTTGTCAAGTATTATTTTATAATAAAAAACAACACTTATATAAATTTGAAATTCAAGATCGAATTCTCAACTGAATTAAAATCACAAATCACTTAAGAGCGACTTAAGTGAAATGTCACTTTTGTTTAAATAATAAATTTAAGTGTCTCATTTTTGTTGATTCTTATATAGATATACTTAGATTTCTATAAAATGTCATAATTTTTAATCTGGTCTGTAACTAAATACTGTCACGTTATGTAATATTGGAGATAAATAAAAAAGTTCTCTTGTTTGTTCAGTAAAATAAATACATATATGTATACAGGGTGTCCAAGGCGGAGCGTGCATTAAAAGTTTCTAGAGAACTACAACATCTAGCTCGGAGATTTTTTGCACATCATAGTTTCACAACGAGATCTATCGATTAAAAATATTTTCAATATGGCGGCACTTCCGGAAATATCGGAAGTTGACAGCAACTTTCTCATTTTAAATGGGTGCCGCCATTTTTTATTACGTACTTAAATTCTCTATAAAATTTTATGAATTTTGATATTAAACCCTCTATATCTAACATTAACCGTTTTTGAGAAAAAACTGCCTGTCAAAAATATGTGTATAGCCTAAACGTCAAATTTAGTGATTACCACAGCCACTGTGCCATAAAGAGAAAACATGTAACTATCTATTTCATAATTAAATTGTTCGAATGAATATAATAATGGCCGCAGCTGTCATAAAATTGAGCGATTAAAAATTATCATAAATCATTTTGTTCAAATGGAAACCCATTTTTTATATTTCATTAGTGAAAAGGCTTTTCAATTCGTTACTTTTTAACTATACCTGTTCCTATACCTAAAATAAATCG